CGATATCCTTGCTCGCTTCAAACTTCGAGGGCGATACTTCGAGTGTTTTTTTCCCTTCACGAATGGAAATCCTGTCCGTGCATGATGATAGTTTCCGCTAACTATTGTCGCTCGCAGGCCATCTGCTGCCCGAAGGGATATAGCAGACTCATTTTGGATTTTCATTCTCCTTCTTTCGTAGCAAAATCAAATTGTTATTCCGTGAGTCCGTTTAGAGATAGTGGTCAGGTCAGTTCACCGCACGTCATCATGGATCCTCGCGTCGTTTTAGGTGCACTCGTCGAGGAATTCGGCCGAAAACATCAATCACCAAACCTCGAGGAGTCTGCATTGATCCGGCATGTGGCACAGTTGCTCTCGGGTGAGATGGAGATAGTGGAAGAGATCAGAACACCTGCTTTCAATGAAGTTGGAGGCGAACATTGGAACGAAGAAATGGATTTTGGCGACGAGGCGCGAGATCCGCCGGCCTCGGCCAATCAATCTGTCGAGGCATCATGCTCGCGATCAGATGACTCCGGATCGGTCGCTTCGAGCCAGTTGACCGGCGAATCCGGCGGGCCTAGCCCGAAAAGGTGGACTCACAAGCCTCCCCATTTCTCCGATGAGGAATGGCAGGCTTATCTTGCCAAAGCCTATAAGTTCTGGCTCTACAACCCCAGATCCGGACTCGCTCGGAGAACCAGAGCGAAGCCGGGAACTGTGAGAAATCAATATAAGCACATCGCAAATATAGAGATCCTACGCTACTACGAGAGACAGCAGAAGAAGCCGTCTATCCGCACGATCAATAAAGCTGTACTCGATCAATTCTCCACCAGCGTTGCGCGAGGCGCGATAGTTCACGATAGGGATCTTCGACGATGGGCACTCGAGTGCAAACGCCGAATCGATAGCCAGGATGACTTGACGTTCAAAGCGAGCAGGTTTTGGCTCCATCAATTTAAGAAGCGCAATAATATAGTAGCTAGAGCTATCACGCACAAAGTCGGCAAGAATTGGCAGCAGCAAGAAGATCTCAAGACCAAGCTCGCGGCTGACTATGTTCAACAAATCAAGGAGCTAATTGCCACGGAAAAGTTGCAGCCCAATGAGGTCATGAACGCCGATCAGAGTCGGTTTGAAAAAGAAATACACAGCCATCGCACATCGAGCACGAAGGGAAGTCGCGTGGTTCGAGCGGTGGTGGGATCGGCGTCCGCCACTACCCATAGCTATATGATTATGCCAGTTGTGACGATGGCCGGCGAAATTTTGCGACCTATGTATGTTCTGGTTGCAGAGCCGACGGGAAAATTCCCAGGAGCCCGACTACCCGATCCTCCGAATATCCGCGCCTTCGCTGGAAAAACTGCGAACATGAACAAGAGAGACTTGGAGACTTTCTACACTCAAGCTTTCTGGCCGAGTATCCCCCTCCATCAGAAGGAGGTACATTTGATTCTGGACTCCTGGGCCGCCAACCGTGATCATCACTTATCGGACACGCGGAAGAGACCGGGGGTCGACTTTACCAAGAGCTTGATACCAGGTGGATGCACGGGGAAGATACAGCCATTAGACGTCCACTTCTTCAGACAATACAAGTCGTTCGTACATTATATCACCGACAGCACAATTTTCGGCCCGACTACAAAATTTGGCAACGCGACAAGTTTCTGGCTTTGCAGTCTTTCTGCATATACCAATTCAGTGCGGAGCGGTTCAGAAATCTCATCCGCTACGCTTTCTTCAAGGCAGGATACCTGGAAGTAGAGCCTGAATCCTGGATCTCTCCACACAACTATTGCTTCGACTCTATCGAATCGGATTCTTGCTCAAAAACAGACTGTCAAGCTGGCGCTTTCGTTAAGTGCGCTCACTGCGAGAAGATGCTCTGCGCTTCGCATGCAATTTTCGGGGAGCTGCATATCGACTGTACCCGATAATATCCACATGTTCTCTAATGAAGCCTCTCGTTCGATCTTCCTACCTGTACTCTCTCGAATAAATTCTGTGAACGCCTCCACGATCTCAAGCCCTATGGAAAATCATTCAGAAGCCATTCTGGTGCGATTGTCGTCTTCTTCGGGTTCAATCAGGCGGTCGGGGAAGTTGAATGGGGTCTAATGAGCGCGGGCATGAAATTCTGCATCGATCGATCTTGAGCCAATGGCCATCAAAAATGTCCGGGGACCAAGAAAAGCGCGTAGCAAGGTTTCCTCCCCGAGAGCCCTCAGCTTCCATGGGGGCTCCGGGATGCCGGAAAAATATGCTGATTATTCGTCGTTCGACCTAGACCTATCAGGTCCACCGAAAAAAGAAGCTGTTTGGCTCCTGACGAATGAGAGGTTTGTCAGACAATGATCCGCCAATTCGCGAGAAAACTCCGATGTGGCACTTCGGAGCGTATCATGGACTGGACACCATGAACCCTCTTCGGACCGTTGAGCGTAAATCTTGCAAGAATCCCTCAAAGGTACTGGGTCCCAAACAAGAAGGACGGAAACTAATCTCCCGTCGTTCGCTTGGCCGACGATGGACAGAGCCCTCGCCAAGTCCCAAAATCGCTTTATAGGACACTGTTAGCGGAGGTTCCGTGGGTGTCGAGGACCGCCGAAACCGGCGGCAAAAGGAGCTCCGTGGGCATGATGGTCAATTGGATCAAAGCCACCACAATCGTAGATAGGCACCTCTGGCTTCCGACGACGCTTCTGCGGAAAGCATTCACTCAACAGACTCTCACAGCTCGAAGATGAGCTTCAACGGTCTTTCGAAGTTTGGGCGTCGAAGATCTGTGTGACGGTCAATGAGTCCACTTCGGCAAGGCGTTCCAGGATTCCGGTATCCTAGCCGGCAGCCTAAAGAATGAACCCGAGGAGGAAGATCAGGACGTCAATGAGACCGATGAGGTTCGCAGAGGTCTCGAGACTGCAGTCAATCGCTCGAATACCCCTTGGCCCAACTGCTGGAATCGATTGCCAACTATCAAAAAAAAACTGTCTCTGAGAGCTACCGCCCAGAGGACTGGCAGCGCGACACGAACGAGTCATTGCAAAACGCAACTCTTCCATCTACCTCTATTGGTAGCGAGCGGATAGCTGCCCTCACGACTCGCGACGAATCCTGTGTCGTCGTCCTCTCTTGGTGAAATTCGCGATTTGCACCGCAATCTGTTCGGGAGACTCGTATCTATCCGGAGCGCATCATTGCGGGGGTGATTCATGTAAGAATTGACTCACACGGTAGGTATTCAGGTAATCGCCCTCGGCGTCAAGGCCCAAGACTTGTGACTGGACAGCGTACCGCTGCATCAGGCGGAGGAAGACTTGTTGTGCGTCGCTTCTCCTCTTCAGTGGTTCATCCGAGAGCTCCAAGCTCCCAGCCAATCTCATTGGAAAAATATCGCGAGTGCTCTGGGGTTCAAGCAATGTCGCTCTGAAGCACTGAAGCCACGCATTTGTTCTCAAATCTCATGATTTGGAGCTCCCATTCCCAGTGAGAAAATGTGGTCGTACATTCCTTTCCTTCCCCCCCAAACGCTGCACGGCTACCGGCGTGGAGAGTGTTTGGAGCTCTTCCTCGGATTCCTCATCGAAACTTTGGGGGTTCCCGTCCTCGGTAGAAAACTCGACCTAATTCATCGACTCAGATCGAGGAGGGCTCTGCGGAAGAGCCTGATCGTAATCAGCTTCCATTCGCTGAGCGTGCTATTGATGGACGGCGATGAAGTTCGAAAGAGTTCTGTCGATCGATGGCGTTCCGGAACTCCGAGCCCGCCAGCCGGTGACGCAGTTCTTCGTCTTCGAGGACTCCGGGATTCGGGGTCGTCTCACTGACGCGATCCAGTGTGGTTTAGATCAAGACGGGACTCCGTTTTCGCGGGAGCCGCGGGTTTGACGATTAGCTGTTCGGCGTCTGCTGCGGGTGCTCGAAGTTTTCGCTCGATAGGCTTTGCTCCAGCAGATGGGATTCTCGAGGACTTTCTCGGAGTTGGTCGCCCCATTGATCGTCTGTGCGGTGCTTTCTCGGAGCGAGGAGGTCTGCGAAACTGAGAGCTGCCAAGCCATTGCCGAAGGATACAGACTAAATGGGAGCGAATCGGTCGAACCATGTGATGATTTCTTCTCCTACGTCTGTGAGAATTGGATCAAATCTCATCCTTGGTTCGAGGGTACAGAGAGCCTACGCAATGTCAGGATTTCCACGCAACAACGGCTTTCGGAAGTCATCGAAGTTGTTCTCAGCAAGAGACTGAAGAACCTGCAGAAACGTTTTCCGAGCCTACGCGAGTCTGAGGTTCAGGCTTTGAAGTTCTACACGAGCTGTGTCCGGTCCCAAGAAACTCCAAATATGGATATGTTACTGACGACATTGCGGAGATTTTTCCATGACGTTGGACTCGACTTCTTCGACGAAGACCTCTCGGGAACATCCCCGACGGCATTTTCGGTTCTGCTGGCTCTCTCAATCAAGTACGGCATAAGTCCCATTTTCAAGGTGATCGTCGATCACGAATCAATTACTCTGACAAGGAGTTCCCCGCCCAGGGCGGACGATCACGCAACTTTCGAGCATTCAGATATGGAAACTTTCTGGAAAATCCAATTGCTCGAGTACTTTGTCAAAGACGATAAGTACGATATCCGTATCGTGAATCTTCTAGGATCAATGTTCAACGCCCTTCAGATCCAGCTCGATTCGGTGAGCCTGATGAGGATAGGGAGAAATTATTTCGCGATCAAGAAGGCCATAAAGTCTTTATTCAACATCCGAATGCTCAGCTATGACAGAACGCTGGCCGAGTGGGAGACACTCTCGGCGGTTCCCTGGATGAACTACCTCAATTCTCATATGGACAGCGCAGCTAGAGTGCAAGGAAAGCACCGACTCAAAATGGATTCCGCGTACTTCGAGCTTATCGTGACCATCACCACAGACCCGCAGCTGACAACGATCTTCAAAGATTTCATCGCCGTTCACCTCCTGATCAGCGAGTTCGGTGAACTCATCGGTGAAATTTCTCATCGAAGTTTCTGCAGTTTCATGCTCTCGTGTTGGGACCTCCACAAGAAAGTGGAACATCGCTGCGCTGAGAAAGTGAGATGAGCGGCCTGCGTGCTCGTAATCTTTCTTGAGTTAGCTCCCATCTCACGGTATACGATATCCGAGTTGAATCTTCTCCATTTTGTCATCGGAGGAAATCCGTGGAGGAAGTTTTTGGAGACACGAGCTCTGTTCCAGCAGACCATCGAGGAAATGAAATGGACGTCGGTGGCTATCGTCTCGCGAGCGCTCCACACGAGTTACAGCACTTTCACAGTCCGTTATTTATTCAGCCTCTTGAAATGTGTGCTGGTCGAGGTAAATCCGGGAGGTCTAAGCGCTATCCGAACACAACCGCATACGCCGCCGACCGATTCTATAATAATATACTTCTTCCAGGAATTGACTAAGAGAATGGACGTAGACATCACCGTAACTCGCTCTGTTCTGCCTCGAATTCTTCTCTTGCGGGACAGGGTCGCTTTTCCGCGATACCTGGAGAGATATGAAACCACCGAGTATCGAGTATCCATGTCGCAGGAAGACTTCTTGGAAAACATAGTCGCCGTGAAGCGAGCTCGACAGATGAAGGCTCTGTCGGTTTTCGGCGATAGCCTGCATAGGAATGAGCCGATGCTCGAGGTTCTTGCTCCCTTCTTGCATCTCCCAATATAGAACTTGTGCTTCAGGGTCTTATATCGTCAGTTACGTCTGCCTAATACTGTCGTATTCCTCCCGTCAGCACACGCACGCGCTATACTCCACGATCTATGATGACATCTATCTACCGGCCTATATGATGCAGTACCCTTATCTGGTTGAGGGAGCTCCACTCTGGCACAGTTTGGCTGCTTTGGGTTGGGTTGCGGCTCACGAGATCGGCCATGCTTTTGATCTTTATGTCCTCTCCTCGCCCAGAGATTCCCCCCCACAGAATGCATCGGACTTCCAGAGAAAATACGCTGTGCGTGAAGAGACCGTTTTTCTCTCCAGTGTTGAATATCGACATATCGATTGTTTACGTCGGTGGGATAATAATGAAGTAATCGTTCGACCCTTCTAGGAATCTCAGCAATGTTTCGCGGCACAGTTCGCGATACCGGGCAAGAGATCAGGATTTCAAGTTCTAGGGGAGGCCATGGCCGATAATCTCGGATATCGTCTGGTTGTCGAAAGCTTTAAATATCTTCGGCAGAAACGGAAGCTCCCTACTCTGAGACTTCATCGTCTTACTCAAACTCAACTATTCTATGTGACGTTGGCGTTCGTGCAATGCTACGCAACAACAGCCGTGAACATGGATTCCTTGACAGGAGTCCATCCGCCTTTCTACCATCGGGTGAACCGAGGGCTCTCGAACATCGAAGAGTTCGCCAGCGCTTTCCAGTGCCGATCACATCACGCCATGGTGGCCAAGCCCCGTTGCTCCATATGATGAGCGTGATGATTGTTTGATATCTTTTCGATTGAACAAACTAAAGACCTCGATGAGAAGATGTGGAGTTTTCGAACGAACAAACACTGAGGACGATTTGCAGATAGGCAATTATTTGACTGCGCACCTCGAGAATAATCGCCCGCCGATCCCGCTCGATCAAGGAACCGCGAATTTCTTAATGGAGGTCTTAATTCAAAATACCTACTGGGAGTATTCCAACAGTAATGAATATTCGATCACCCATGAAGAAGGACAAGAGTCGGTGTTTTTCTCAGGTAGGTAGTTGAGGACAGCTATATTTTATTGAATGGTCAGGCGCGACTTAGAATGCCGGAAAGTGCAGCTTAGGTTCGCTGAAATTCTAGCTCGTTCGCAAAGTAAGCATACTGTCGTCATTAGCGGCGCATTGCAATAAACTTCCGACAGCTCATCTAGCAAGAAATCTAAACAATATCTATTGACAATATATGGTAACGTTCACTCATGAAAAAATCGCTGTCGATATTGCGGGCGTGAGCATGAAACCCCTGTACAGACATAGTTCGCAGAAACCCTGTTCTCCTTGTGTCGACAGATCGGGATGGCGTTTGTGGTATAATAATTTCCTCGCATCCGACGCAAACAATCCAATACTTGTAGATGTATGTCGATTGAGCATTTCTACCAAATCACATGAGATACACGCCTGCAGAGCCCTCGATCAGCGAACGGAGACTCGGTGAATTACGACGAAGTGCCGATGGAACACTCGATAGTTAAATGACGAAACGGGGTTTCACGAACCGCGCCGAGACTTTCCAACTAAATCAAATTCGTAAACAATGGCTCCTCGGTGGAATATTCAAAATCAGAATCGCTTGACATTCTTCTCCGAGTCGATGTCTCTCTGAATCAGGACTAATCCTCCCATGTCTCACTCAGGGCGAGAAAACTTCAGGGTCGTCTGATTATCATTTTTTTCGAGGATGACATCGACGAAGGATTTGGAAAAAGATGACCAACTGCTTAAAAGATCAGAGCCCGACGCACCGCGCTCCGAGAACGAAGAAAAGATTCGAAAGAGATTACTTATGAAAAATGTGGGTGGTACTAAAATATTCTTCCGCCCAACAACTGAATCATACGACGACGGCGAGGATGACGACAACTTTGCTCTGTCGAGCTCTACTGAAGCTTCCTCTCATTCTACTCGAGCAGAATAATTGATCAGCAACTAATTCCGATGAGGGTCCGATGACATGTTCGACGGCGACCTTCGGAAGAATGGCTACACCGTGAGAGATCTTCTAATCCGTGTTCGAAGTCGGAGTAGCCCTCGGTCTTCTCCCACGAGAGACAGAGAGAGAGAGAAAGAGAGAAATTCGAAGGGGACTGACGTTTTTGCCAATGACATCATGCATTTGGTGAGAGGTTTTGCTTGCGGAAGAGTAGCTTGTTTCCTTAGGTCTAGAGTCAACTTCTTTCAGGTAGGTATCCTGGAGTAAAGGTATGTCGAGAACCAATTTTCTGCGGTATTCTGTCTCGCTCCACTGAAGCACGACCGATGAATCCTTGACGGAATATAGTCTTCGATCGTTCGAGCAGTTCATAGCGAACGATCTCTGTCCCTCCTCCGTACATGCGAGCTCAGAATCGATTGCTGACGGCGAACGAATGCCTCCCATCGGAAGTTTCCTGGGGAAAATCCGGGCAACTCGAATCGTCGTGTTCGATCACCCGCTCGCGTCATGAGTAGGTCAGCTACTTGAAGTGAGCTCGCCACGGCTGAAGACCTCGAAGCCGAAGACATCCGAGAAGCAGCACACGGTATCATCAAGTCTGTATGATCGCCAAGGGAGAGCGGATCGAATTCGTCGATCCCCGAGCGCTTGCGCTCTCCGTATCTCCGATACAATCTACCCGGTAGCAAGATATCTTTAGCGATGGAATTTCCTCGAGCCACGTTCAACCCGACTCGGCTTAGTTATGCTGAATGAAGGAGAGTCGATCCTCGGGCTCGAAGGTCGACAGCGTGGTAACGACGGAGGGCGCGATCGGAACTTCGTGAGGAGACTGAAGAGCAGCTACCCGTTTTTTTCCGGGTGGTCCCACATGGACCTGCTCCCTTCGTCAGATGTTCGGCTTCTGTCGAGAAGGAGTTGTCCATCGAAAAGCCTGTAGCGGAACATTGTTGTTGTCGTTTATGTTGATGGATTTGAAGATGCTTCCGTTGGTGTTCACGACAGCCTCTGGAAAGTCCTCAGTCAGGTCCATGGGAACCACAGAGTTGTTGTTCGTCGCACTTTCAGTTGTCTGCGGAGAAAAATCGTCTACAATCAGAGATCGGCTTCCCTCCTTGTTTCTCGAAGTCATCACGTCGAGTTGCACATGAATACAATCAATGAATCAACGGAATCATCGAGAACTCACCAAGCTGGTCATCATTCTCTTTGCGGCACCTGGATGATCCGCGGAGGGGATCCAGACGTCACCAGTGGGCCGACGCGGAGAACCATTGGTGCCGGAGCCATTGCTGCGGCTGTCACCTAAAATAATCCTCGTGTTAAGCGGCGCTGAAATATTCAGGGAGTCCCGCTCCGAGGAGCGAACAAGCGTTCCTAATCCTTGTAGATTCTTTGAATAGATTCCCCGGTGAGCCGATTACATCGTCGATACAACAGATCTTCCGCGGAATGTCCAGAGAAAGAAGTCTTCGGACCGAATGGCGATCATGGATCGAATGCTCCCAATGAGGTCAATCGGGAAAGGTGAAGAAGGAGCTTCTCTCGCATAGTAAAATTCAATGTCTCGTAGCACACAAAAAAAAGAAAATTTATTGCAATGATGGTCAAATCGAACTCTGATCAACTAGGTACGTGTGATACCATTTAAGACAGATCGATCGGCCGTCTAATGTACGAGCTACGCTCCCTCCTTCTTAACGTATGGAGTTGTAGTGTCTCCAGAGCGGAGTCGAGAAGCGCTCTTCCTCTAAGTTTCCCAGAGTATCTTCCCCAGCGACAGCAGCTCCATAAACTTACGCACCATGAGCGAGCACGGCTGCAGCTTCGCGGTCCCGTTTGAGACCAACTCTTTCCGACGAATTCACGCTGTTACTGAGGGCTCTGTTGGGAGCGCCCGGCAGTCATTCGACAACACGGAGCACTTTCCCGATGGCGATGGTGCGACCCTCGTCTCGGAGTGTGAAACGTCCCATCTGGGGGAAAAGCTTAAAAGGCTCGACGCAAACCACGCCCGCAGTCTCTAAACGCATTATGGCGGCCTGATCTTGCTTCACGAAACGTGGCTTCATCTGTCCTTTCTCGTTCGTTTTCCGGTCCACCAAGCAGATGATCGCTTTCACAGATACTTCCTCGACGGCAGCGTGGATGTGGAGAACGGCCGAATATCCCGAACAGATGATGGACTTGTGTTCGAGGATGACGACCTGGGCATCGAATATCTTGGCGACCTTGCACGGCTTCTCGATATCGCACAAGACAAATCCGGCGGAGACCTCTTCTTCCTCGACGCCTTTGAGTTTAACCTTGACGTTCTCGCCGGACTTGACTTGCTGGACCTCGTCTTCGTCGTTCCACAGTTGGAGAACTTCGACTATTTTCCGGTTGGGCATCAGCAGCAGCTGGTCGCTCCGATCGCACATCCCGCTCTCGACTTTGCCGTAACAGACAGTGCCCATGTCCTTGTACTTGTCGACTACGGGCATGATGAACGGCCCGTCCAAATAACGCTCGATCGGTTTCAGATCATCGATGTACGGGAGGAAAGCCGGTCCCGAATACCACGGACACTCGCTCGAGGAAACTGGATCCTTGAGGCCGGCCCCGTTCAGACCGGAGCACGGCATGAACACCACTTCGGTCTTGGGGTTGAAACCGCACTTCTTGAGATACGGTAGGAGTTTGTCGCGGCATTCGTTGAACCTCGTCTCGGACCAGTTCACGGTGGAGTCGTCCATTTTGTTGATCAGGACAACAAGATGCTTGACACCGGCAGTCTTGGCAAGCATTGCATGCTCTCTGGTTTGCCCACCGCGCTCGAAACCAGTCTCGAACTCGCCTTTGCGAGCCGAAATTACCAGGACTGCGATGTCGGCTTGACAAGCTCCACCGATCATGTTCGGCACAAACGACCTGTGCCCCGGCGCATCGAGCAAGGTGAAGTGCTTGTTGTCGGTTTCGAAGTACGCGCGGCCGCACTCGACCGTTTTGCCTGCAATCAAGTGAAACGATGAGGTACTTTCTCTCCCGGACAGTTCCGCTCGATGCGATGGTCCCCGACCGCGTCCAACGGAATTAGACAACCGAAAAACGTCGAAGTCGCTCACCCTTGTCGCGTTCTTCCTGGTTCGTGTCGAGAGCCCACGAGAGGTACCAACTCTCTCGGTTTTTCTCTTTAGCCTCTCGTTCGTACTTCTCCAGGGTACGTTTGTCGACCATGCCCGTGAGATAGAGCAGTTGTCCACCGAGAGTACTCTTGCCGGCGTCGACGTGTCCGATGAACACGAGGTTCAAATGCTGTTTACGGGGACCTTCTTCAACTCGTTTCTTCTCCTTTTTGGGCTTCGGAGCGATTTCTTCTTCAGGAGAGATGCCCTCCTCAGGGGACGGGTTCTCTCGCGACGGCGAACTACTGTCGTCTGCGTTGACGCACTCCCAATCTGCAGGGGGCTCCCCATTGTTGTTGGTTTCGGACAAGGGCGATTCCTTGTCGAGGATATCCTGCAACGAAAAATAGCATCGACTTAGCTTCCGAGGACTTATACTCGAGCGACCGGAGCGATGCATCGAGTTTGAAACCCATTCTTCACGCATCTTTCAAACTGTCGCGCTCGAAGAGCGAGAGCTGGGAGAATGAATGAGGAGATTCACTTGAAATCCTCTCCGCAAACAGGACGTTCCCGCATCCATCCGCACCTATTACGTTCAGAACAGTAAACCTGGTCTACAGAAGGAGTTCGGGGAATTCAACGGAGGGACGATTGCACCCCGTGGGCCATGGATCGATGGTCGGATGTGCGTTCATATGCCTCCATCCGTCCGTCGCACCTGCTCTGGTCCACATTTAGAGTTTTCAAGACGATATCCATTGAGATTTCAGCACAGCGCGACGATCCAATGCTCGTCCCGCTCAAGCCCGCGCTCAGGTTCGAGAAATGCCGAGGGTTCGAGTTTTTAGAATCATGTTCAGTCACAGCCACCAAACTGATAGTGGGTATTCAAGACTGAAGATTGAGGCTTCCTCGGAGGACAACTGAGATCCCGACGTGAGAGTCCCCCTCGATCCCGAAAAGTATCGGAAGAACTTCGAGATCACGGGGCACTCGATAGAGTCGGGGCATTCTTTAGTTTTGCCAGAAGTTGTCGTGATTTGCCAAAGCAAAGTCGCCATTTTGTCGTTTCACCGAAAACCAGAATATCGATCTCAAGAACCGTAGATGCAGCCAACTCATGAATGTCCTCAAGCCAATGAAGTCTGATATGATACCGCCTGCGAACCGTGACGCGATCCGCGAGACTTCCCGAGTCCCGAGCTAAATCATCAATTCATTTCTGCAAATAGAACCACGAGAGGAACGGCTCCTCCGGCCGCCAGACGGCAAACGAGTGACCTGAATAGCAACGGTATAACGTGCTCCTTGTGAAGAACATATGGCAAACCGTCAGAGATCCGAGACTCGTTTCGTGGAGTATTCCAGTGACCTTATCGAACGCAAGTCGAGTGACTTCCCGAAATTTAGACGAACAGACGAATTCCGTTTGGGTCCGCAATGCGTTTCCTAGTCACGCCGGAACACGCGGCTCGGTTAATAATCCAATATTCAGCTAGTTTGGCACGCAGTTTCATCATTTCGAGAACACGAATTGCAAATTTATCGCTCAGCAGACGGGTACCAGATCCTCATTGGAGGTGCGTACGGCTGAATCAGAAATATCACGCGAATCTCCTAAGTCCGCTCTCGGCGTGCTCTGAGCTGGCAGGCATGTCTAGGCGCTACACTCACGGATGCAGTGATATTTACCTGGCTGTCTGGAAGACTTCCAGATCCTGGAGCTGGCTGACCCGGTGGAGACATGAACGACGGTACGAAGACTGGTGCATCGACGTTCAACTTCGTGAACTGTCCGCTAAGCTTATCGTCGGCGTCCCAGCTTTCTGCGGGCTCCATCTGTCTGCGGTGTGTGGTGTCGTCTGTGTGACTTGGTGTGCGTTCTCAGGAGACGCCTGCAGCGCTCAAAAACTCGACAGTGGGGCAATTTTCAGACCGGGCTGTGCTCGTGAAGCGACGACGCCCAGACGCAGAGTCTTTTCTTCTGAGGCTCTCTCACAGAGCTTCGCAGCGTCTATACGCGAGCTCGTAGACTCCACACAACCAATACGTATTATCGTCGTCGTCGTTGTCGTCGTCACACCACCACCACCATCACTGACGATGATGACAATGATCCGGGCGGGCATCGTGTTGCTTGAGCCGTCGCGAATCTCGGCAGGTTCGGTACGAAACCGCCCGAATCGCGTTTGAGCCTCCCTGTGCGGATCATCGTCATCATGGCTCCTACATCCATCGAACGCCCCGCGCGCGAAACCGCGGGGCGGCATGATGTCGCCCCGGCGCCGTCTGCGTGCTGCCCTCCAAGTCCTCAGCCGGTAGAAGTATGCAGCATTCCTCGGAGGGCCAATGTGTAATCTGAGTGGGTAGTTGGAGTTACGACCTCAATTTCCGCCATGGTAGAGCTCCGTCAGTCCTGGCTCTGAGCTCCAACGGGAACCTTCTCTACTAGGGAAAAGGGAAGTCATGGGGGCGGGAACGCTTCGGATTCAGATCGACGTGCCCTTGCCTCGGCCTGGGGACAGAACGCATTTTCCGTGCGCCATGAGATGCTTGATAAGCTCAATAAAGCAGCTTGACTATCCAACTCGCCGGAGTCGCATCCTGATCCCGGACTGATGCATCCCTTCATCGAAGTTTTCGGCTAGAGCTGAATTAGCGTCGATTTCTATCTCAAATCATGAGTTCATCTCGAACAAGTCCTGATTCTTCGGTGGCGTTCATTATAATTGCTTCGATTAGCGGATCCTTCTCCTTAGAACGTGTAGAAGACGGGAGAGGAGGAGTGACCCTGCGTATAGAAAATACCATAATGGGCGGATACCCGTGGTATGAATTGGCGGAGGACGTCCACATCTGAGTGAATACAAGGAACTGGAACAAAGCGCAGCACAAACCTTGGAGGAGAAGGATGTCTCGGAAACCAAGCCGTCGGATATACAACAATATTTGAAGAGAGAAATGAGGACTGACCGCGGTCGGCATTTATAACAATGAAAGAGGTACCACCCCACTCGTATCAGCGAGCGCAGGGAAGCTTCCGACTTCCGACTCGGAAAACCCGAACTGTGTTCAAGAATATCCACCCACGCTGTTCTTCGTGTGGGAGGACGAAGGAATTAGCCAGCACGATCTATTAGATTGTACCCCATGTCGCCTCGATGGAGGGTATCTGACGCCGTAAAAAATGCGGCTCCAGAAGCTCCTGGACTGTGGAGTGCTGCGAAATACCAAGGAACGACTAGACGAAAGGGAGCAACACACACCGATCTGCCCACAAATGCCCCCGAGCTGGAAGGGATACTGTCCGTCGATACAGTATCGCGGGATCATATGGATCAATAAAACCATCAGGCATGACGCGTATCTTCACGGGACTTCATGCCCGTAGCATCACCCGAGAGCATCGCTCAGCCGCGGGGCATGGCCTCCTTCCTCCCAGCGCTTCCCTCGTGAGCATCATTCGCTAAATCTGAGACCACAAAGCTGGCTTAAAATGACTGACTTGGTACCGGAACCACGGGTTCGCCTCACGCGCTGTATCATTCAGACATCCCGGTACTGCGTCCGTAATCATATTTTTAATGCGAAGAAGAGACTTGTGTCTCCTGCCTCCATTCCCTATGAATATCGAATGAGAACACGGCCAATCGGTTTTAATCGCCTGTAATGATCATATAATATCATGGAACATCATGCTCATCGGTTGGATTTAGAAACCGTAGTGTCTTTTTCTCGTACTTATGTACAGCTTTCATTCAAGTGTTTTTGTTTTTCCCTTTTCCCTATATATGCATCCATGAAGGTATTTATAGCAGTAATATGTACCTATTGTGTTATATTTAATTCAATCATCAATTTGTCGCATCATGCGACCGTCGCTAGGAGGTCAGTCTACAATTGACCCAGCAGGAGGCAATTCCGTTCCGGTTCTCCCTACCTGTTGTTCCCTTCTCCCTGGTCAGCTTCAACGACCTAAAATCTTGCAATGGTGGTGGCAAGGGGTGTGAGAGAGAATGAATAGACAGGTAGCGTTCGACTGCAGGTCCGCAAGAAAAATAGGATCATATCGGCTGTGGTACTCACTTGTTCCTTGTCATGGACAGACTCAAAACAAGATACCGGAATCGGTTGATTCGAATTGTTCTTCCGCATGAAGAAATCCCGCCCCGTCAACCTCCGAGGTTCTCTCACTTGTATCGACAAATCTTTTCGGCAAAGAAAAATGTTTGAACGCCCTCAGGTCAATATTTCCGAATAATCTCGACCGATGAACTTCTCTCTTCAGCGTCCCAATCGCCCCGGGGAAGGAACCTCGACGGAGCGGTCACTAATCGGGAGCAGATTCCGAACACGGAATATTGGAACGAGGCGAGGGCTTCCCGAAGTTGTGACGAACGATGCAGAGTCGAAATAAGATCCGGTTAATTGGATTCGCGTGTTCTCTCTAAAAGAGTACTTCTCAGTATCGCAGACTGTAGCTTCTCGCGAACACGTTCCGGGAGCGTGCTCGAGAATTCGGTGGCTTCACTCATACTCGGCTTCACATAACGAGGGCCCGGCTGACCCTGGAATCCTCGCTTCTATTCCTACTATTTCGAAGAATGTCCGATCCTCGTTTTTCACTCCTGTGCTCTGCCTTCGACGTTCAGAGTGACACGCCGGGACAGAATCGACATGACCCCAAGGGGGAGAATCACATTGGACGCGGGCCAATGCTCCCGACATCGCTGACTCATGAATTAAAAAACCGATTCTAGCCGAATCGCCGCGTTGGGGCTTGATTTGGAAAATCCGATTCCACGAAGCATTATGGGTTCGAATTGTTGTGTTCTGATCAGAGTTCTTCTCGTAATTCTATTTTAGTAACCGGGCCGGGAGGTGTCCATGGGTGATGCCGGAGGCCCCATGAGGTTTACGGGACTTGTTGAAGTTGCTGCTGGTATGCGAGACTGCCAAGCCGATCCCTAGAACAGCGTGAGCGTCACTCGAACGATAAATTGCTGATGCCTCGTGATATCTCTCTCGTTTAAACATTTCCGCTTCTTACGCTCCCTTCCTTCAGGGCCCGATGCCAGAAAATTATCGAATCAAACTCAACCACAGAAGAATCACAGAAACTAATTGGGACAGAGTACACTCACAGCAGCCGACCCCGTTGCCGGATGATTGGGCGGGAGCATAGAGGAAACTTGCTGAGGATTCGCTTCTCTGTGGCCGACGTGACTCAGAGCGGACACCGGAGCTGTTGTCATCGGAAATAAGACTGGTTGTTGACACGTGGGGCAACATCTACCGTGGAACGAGCCCATCGGACTCCCTGGGCGGAAAGAACTCGATGACACGCCCCCAGGAGCCGGGGAGATCGATCTGAGGAGGGGGAAACATTCGTCATAGCGTGATCATGCTTCACTGATTCCCGTTCGTTTGATCGCGCGTTCCGATGACTTCAATTACGGCACCGTTATGAAACGCTCCGTCGAATCCAAATGGCTCGATGCGCAGGACATTCGGGATTCGAGCATGAGCGAGTCATGGCAGGGTCGAAGACCGAATTCAAATGCCCACGGAGAAACCCCCTCCGGAGAAAATTCACGAATCGACTTTCATATGAACTCACCTTTGACCTGGGCCCGCATACGGAATAGGCGACGACACTGCACGACTCCTTGCCACGCAATGACCTTCATTGAAAATTCGCTCCTCGTCCATCTCCAACGAGGATTCACTCTCAGAGAGATGGCGGCACAGCTGCTCGCGTCTCTCGACTTCCATCTGAAGCTTTCTCTGGAGACGGAAATTCTCTTCTTTGATTTGTTTCTCCTCTTGGGATAGTTGAGCTATCTTTTCAGCATCTGCGAATGGAAGGAACGGACATTAAATTGATTGAGTTGGCGGGAGACAAGGGTTCTGGAGCCTCTTCCGCGCTAAGGACGAATGAGTCTCAATGTGCTTAATTAGTGTAAGCAGAAAGAGTACTGCTCGTTCCGCCTCAATCTTTTTCCCCCGGCGCATCCCGTCTATGGAATGCCCTCCCCCCTCATGTCTCCCCTTCAACGTATGATCCTAAAGTCTTCAAATCGAACACTATACGCTCTTTCCCTTCAGGTAGAGAGCCTTCGGTTTTTCTTAGCGGGTATTATTTACATGAGGCCCACATTCCAGTTGAATTTTCCACTCTTCTGGGTGGTGCGTCAATGCATTTTCTCCTATGGCTCTTTTAGCCATTCCTCCTACCTCCCCCTCAGTTTCCCTCCCCCTTCTCGCACTCGCAGTTTCTTTCGGGAGTTATAGGGTAACCCCTCTGCGAGCTGCTCGACCAAAAAAAATGTCCGTTGGGCGCGAATACTCTCCACTCACTCTCACGGCCGGTCTTGTGCAATAGTGTTTTGAGTCGATTGACTTCTTGCTTCAGATTTCGGATGTTCCGGGTCATTCCCGCAGGATCGGGATTCGGTGGTCGAGGCGGAGCCACGTCTGATCGGGGAGACGGCGGAGCACTTATTGGTTGATCCAGTTTCTCCTGGAGACTGCGCTTTTCAGCCTGAAATCCAGAGTTTGATAGCTGAACTTATCAGAGGAATCCAGGGCAATGATCCAGGACTTCTGCCAGCACTAACCAATGCATGACGGAACTGTGACATTGATTCAGGGAAAACTTGAGGATGACTTACTTCGAGGGTGTCCATCCGCTTCCAAAGTCTGTTTACCAGCGCTTCTTGCTCCTGTTCTAGAGTGCTCTCCAGCTCAACTTTCTCCCGTCTCAGCTGCTCGAGATTGTTCTGAAGGGCAGAATTTCGTTTTTGGCCTCTGGATTGAACCGATGTTCGTCTACTCCTTCCGGGTCGAGCCAGGAACACGGAGAGGTGCCACAATGGCTAAAAATCTTCCATGCGCTCACCTGTTTCGTGAGGGTGTCGGCTTCGAGCCTCTCAATCTTTCGCATCAACTTATTCACCAGAGCCTCCTGCTCGTGCTCGAGGCTTTGTTCGAGTTGGACCTTTTCCTGCCTGAGTTGTGTCAACTTCCTCGACAAATCGTTCGTGAGGCATTCCTCTTCTTGTTCGTAGTTCTGGCAGAGGGTCTCCTTCTCACGCTTCAGAGCCTGGATCTTCTTAAGTAGAGTGTTGCTAATATACTCTTCCTCTTGCTCCGCTTTTGCTTGCTGAAAGCATTGAGAAGACACCTGAACAACCTGCCACTCTGTCACCTTTACTTCGACGACTTGCTTCTCGGGGGTGTCACCGAGTCAGATGATTTCTGGTACTCGGCTGGGGGCATTCAGTCGAGACGTGATATTCGATATGATTTTCCGCCCCTCTCAAATCCCCGCCCCCTCCCCTTCCGAGGTGAAGATTGTGAGGACTTCTGGCATCGCATCCCAAGTGATGGCTGCAAGACTCAGGCGCTGTGTATTCCTCTGTTGAATGATGACCGATTCAATCATCTCTTCAACTATGAATATTCAATTCGCGCCGCAGTCTCGCGAACCGGTTTATCAGATATGATCAACATTGACCATCTGCGATGTGAAGCCCAAATTCATCGCAGATGACCATTCGCGCGAAATCGAAACGAACCAATATAGTAGGATCATTCATCGATTTCCGTACTAAAAGTTTCGAGGCTCGATGCGGAATCTGGCTCAAGCCGGTGGACATTTAGAGAGCCAGTAGAGGTTATTGTACTTTCTTCAGGCACCGGTTCGTCTTCCGAGCCGTGAGATCAAAGAGAAGCGAAGCACATGGTGGGGTGAAATTCTTCAAATTGGCTTGGAGCACGCTCGACCCCGGTCATCGAAAGCTTGTGTCCCGTAGAAGCCATGGACGGCGAGAGTCGAGAAGCTCCTCGAATAAATCATCGGATCAGTGAGCTCCGCAATTCCTGCGGGTAGGGGAGAAACCGAAAAGGCCTAAATATCTGTAGCGACTATGCGCAACGAGCCTGAGGGGAACTCACAATGTTGACTGAAGCTCTGCGGAGCTCGGTATTCTCCTCCTGGAGCTGCTTAACGCGGAGGCGATAGGTCTCGAGCTCTATTTTGAGTACGCGATTCTCTTGATAGAGAGAATCGATTCTTTTCTGAAATTGCTCTCGAGTCATAGGACTCGGAGCGACCATTAAACCATCGACGGAGCTAGAATCCGATTCGCTTGCACTGTCTGCCATCGCTGTGCGTTTTTTCCGAATCAGGTTCCAGATGCTCAGAGCTGCTCGAAAGGCCGCTTCCTTGGCGTACAACGAACACTATGTAACAACTTATATCTGCAATACGAACACCGTCAACTAGCGTCAACAACCAACGGATTGAAATATTCCGTCATTTAAGGCTCTAAAGCGCGGAGACTGCTCCGTGCTGGGCTTGTGGTGGTGAGTTGTGTGGGATTGATCGCGGCTCCGCATTCTCATGAACACACACGAGGTGATCGCCCGGCAGAGTGCGTCCAGTCGCGCCCCGCGGAATTAAGTTGGAGTTCGTGAGGCTCGTACTTCTTCATTTCCGAGACCGGTAAGCCTGGTGGTCGAATACCACTACAACGTAGCCGGTGTTCGACCCACTACCCCGTGGGTCTGGGGGTTAGGCTCCTTCTAATCCCCCTCGTATTCTCCTCCCGTAGTCAGCTGTTTTGGGAGAGTCTCTACTATGGAAACGCTGAAGATTGTTCATACGAACGAGGATGAAACGTGCATGACTTTCTTGTTGGAGAACGAAGATCACACACTTGGAAACGCATTGCGGTGAGTTTGGGGCTTGTTCTGGCATTCCGGTATTTTTGGGCTCGTCTCCCGACTGACTTTCGTGGCTCCAGCCTGGTCGGACTATAGTGTGCCCGCGCTACAAGGGGACCCAGTACAGCACATTATTTGGGGATGCCTAGCGACCGCGCGGAATGGTTCTCATTCAGGAGAAATTATTCGACCCTCTTCAGACGAAATTTCCAGTTTCCAAGTGATTCCTCGTACGAGGTTCCGAAGTCTTCGCGAATTAGAATGGCGCATCGACAGAATCCTGTTCAATGCCGCCTCATGAGGTGGCTGTCGTCTCTGATGTCGTGTGATTATGGGCGAGGTGACCAATTTCGCCCAGCGATTAATTTAATTTATGAATTTGCAGGTGTATGATAATGAAGAATCCTGCGGTCCAGTTTTGCGGATACGCTATTCCCCATCCCTCAGAGAGAACGATCCATGTGAGGATACAAATGATCAATGGGTCAGCTATCGACGCCCTTGAGAAAGGATTTCAGGATCTCAGGGATATGATGGAACACATCCATGCCACCTTTGAAGACACGATCTCAGCCTACAAAGAAGAAGTTGCAATGCAGGAATAGATGGATCGATGAAAGAAGAACGCCGGGGATACCGGTGATTCCAGAGTGAGATGTGTAAGTCTGTAAATAAACACCATCGGGTTGTGGAGAAGCTCTCGGAAACTCGAAAATCTTCGTTCATGTTCCTACCGAGGGTCCGTCCTGACAGTGAGTATGCGATACCGACTCAAGATGACTCTCGATACCATGGATCTAGATTCATCAAGCCTCTCTTGGGAAGATCGGCGTCAAGATTCATATAGATGACAGGCATTCCTATGTAAGTCTCGAAACTCCGACTCGCCAACCGCCCTACGATTCGCATTGATCTGGCTTCGGCATCAGATCATTCTCGCGGTTCGGATGTTTCGACATGTCTTCAATGAATCGACAGGGTAGCCAAGTTTGTCCCAGAAGATCGGGGCCTTCTACGGGTTCCGAGCGTATGGGCCTGATTGGGCGTTTTCTTCTCAGGGCTGTTTCCGCGCAAAGGGAAAATGGCTCTAAACACAATATCCGAGAAATCAAAAGCACGCATACAGTCTCCTTTATTCTCGCTTGCGTTTCGCGTGAAGTACTCTACGGCGCTGGAAGAGCATATGACTCATGAGGAAAGAGCCCAAGGGGATGATGCCAATGAGTATATACAGTCGCATGAGGCTCGGTAGGTAGAAGCTGAAGTTGTACGCATTGGGGAGCTGTATGGAGAATCGACCGGTTTCCTCGAAATACGGAATGTTTCTCAAGATGATTATGCCTTCCGAAATTATGCCGATGGGCAGCAAAGGGATCCAGATGGTGTATCGAAGCCACGTAAGAAACTTGATATGCTTATCGTAAACCTGGGGGACAGAATTGAGGGCATTAGAGATTTCCACGACCATCTATCTATTTCGAAAATATTTCTCAAGCTCCTCCGAACCTACCTTCAGCATATAATAGGGATAGCGAACCAACTCGATCAGCGTGTAAGCACTGAAGAGATAGGTAATGGCCGGCTTTGACTGGATTCTCGGCTCAGCCGAGATCATGACGAAGAACATGAATAACCTCCCTCCGACTAGAACCAACGCCGGTAGAAATCCTGATCGCGGAACGAAACCTAGCAGTGGGTGTAGGATTTCCAGAGCCTGAAGGGTGAGGGCGAACTTCATCGGTCCGCCGCACGTCTTGAAGACTTCAATGAACATCTGGAATGTTGATGACGACTCTAAATAACGGTCAAACTGTACCCCGAGATGAGGAACTTTTCCCCCGGTCGGGTACGAATGGTTTATTTATTCCGCCTCTTTTTCTAACCCTACGGATGAGAATCGGCTCGAGCATCGAATCGATTGCAAGAAATTCTTCCCCGGAGAAAAATCCCTCCCACCGAGCACCGTGGCTGCCTCTGATAACACATAAGACATGAGATATACCAACCTCTTCTGGATGTCGTAAGTATCTGATTACGAGCGTGACGCCGACTGTCAGAAACGCGCAGAACTGGAACAAGTTGTATATGAACAGGTAGACCTTGCGCAGCTCCTGGGCTCGTTTCCGAGTACGGCGCTCCTCTTTCCCGAGGAGCTCTTCGTACAGACTGTCGACTTCAGCCTGGAATTAGAGTGAATCTCTCCGAATTTCCATCGAGTCTCCGATCTCCGTTCACCCTACTCAAGTTTCGGATTTAAATTTACAACCTCGAGAAAGCTTACATTCGTTGCGGCATCGTGGTCGCTTTCGGAGTCGCTTACGGCAAACCTGTCAAAGTCGACTTTCAACCACGGTAATTTAATTTTGCTGCTCGTGAGTCTAGGCCACCACTCATCTTCGTCAGGGGAGTGTTGTCGCTTGTACAAGACCAATTCGACCTTGAGAAAAGAGAAGAAAGGAACGAGGTTGTTGATCAGCGCGATCGTAGTCGAAAATTTACCGGGAAGCGTATTTTCCGGGATATTCGCTATGACAGCATGCTGTAAATTTTAGCCCGCACCTGTCTATCGTTCATCCGGCACTCCGTTCGTTCGGGCCTGATCTCCTCGAAAAGGTCGATTTTGAAACCATAACAATTGTCGCCTCTTGCACCTGGAGGAGAAAACATTTGTCAATGCGAATTGAAGTCATTACGATCTCCGCGAAACAACCTCCGAGAGTCTCGCAAGCGGTAGAGAATCTAGATTTTTTCCGCAGGGGACGGTCAATGAGTTTTTGTGGGGAGGGGGGGGGGGACACACAGATCAGTCTCCACGAGTGTCTTCCACAGGAGATGTGAATGGAGTTGCAAAAGTTTAGGGGGGGGGGGGGGCGGCGGCTTGGTCGCCCCCTCTGGCTTATCGCCCTTGGCGATCCCGGCTCCGACTCGACTTGGACCCCGTCGGAGTCTGCTCTGAACTCTGAGTTTCCTGGGAGAAGACATTTGAAAAGCTGCCGACGTGGACAGATTTTCGATTGCGGTCAGAAGCGTATCGCCGGACGCGGTCTTTCAGTCGCGCTGAAGTGAGCGCTCCTGGGAGATGAGGTGAACATTCGCTATTTCGTTAAGCTCACCGACGCCTTTGGCTGAAAACTCCACTGAGTGTGTAGTGGCATTCACTTCAGGTCCTCTCGAATCCTTCAGGTCGATGCGCAATGTTACTCGCGAATAGTCCTGCGCCCAGTAAACGAAAGGGGTTCCAATGCCTTTAACCATCGTTCAGGGGGTTCGGGGTTTCCCGCACACGCTCACTCACGCAAATCGAAAAAACTTCCCCAACTCAGCCAGCCGGCTCGGCAGGCTCCTCCAAACGGAAGGAAGATCAATAGAATTCCAGAAATTCAGTTAGGATGGGTAATACTCTGCAGGAACATTATCCGCTGTCAGGCGAGAGTGGAAACGATGATGGCGATGATCTTTGCTAATACTCTTTATGGCACCGAGCGACACCTTCTGGCCCAGCGGCTCTCAACCTTTATCCATGCGCGCGCCTGGAGTTGGCGGGGCGGGAAAATCCCTGAAGCCCCTGAGCCGATAGCCGGAAAAATACAAGACGGCAGACAAGCGTAATTTATTCTGCGAAACTCAACGAAGAACATTGCGCAGAGCGAAATCGCGCGTGCAAGAGCTCCCAGCTAAAGCCGATGGCGATGTCAGACGAATGTGCTTGGATTCAGGTTTTCTCCATACACTACGACGCCGGCTTTGGTATCAACTTCGAACATTTTTCAGTCGCTGGGAGCATGCTCGCGAATCCGGATAGTGTAGTGAACAACACTTCAGAAACTTTCCGTGCGCCCCCTGTCACTTCCCATGCACCCCTCGAGGTGCGCTTGCCACCGCATTGAGAACCACTCTTCTTGCCCGTCTGTAGTGTGAGCCGAGCTACGTCCACAACAACTATGAATTTCTTCTCATGGGTCATGACATTGAGTTTTCACGGAACGAAGTCCTCATCTCGACAGACATCCGCGGGAGATAAGCAAGAACCTCTAGGCGAAGCTGATCAAAAAGCGCAATCCTAGGTCCTTGCTGCCCCACAGAGACGTGGGCTATTGAGAAAAGTGATATTCATCCTCGAAGCCTGCGATCAAGACGTCCACACTCCCGAGCTTAGAACAAGATTCCATCTGCATATATCGATGCTCAACTTCGGCTCGATTACAATGGATGGATGATACTAAAATCATATGAACGACATCCGCTGCGCCGATAATCCTGCTCTGAGTGCCTGACCAAATTCAGGGAGAGGGAACTGGAAGCGGTCAAAGATGCCTTCCCAGCTGAACAAGTCTCCGAACGAAGAAGCTACTCGGGTGGGGAACGTTTCCACCTGAACTCGTTCCTCGTCCCTCCGGTGACGCGATCGGGGTCTACGAAGCCGTTCCGCGGGGCATCGCAGCGCGATTCAATGGCCCCTCTGGAACCTTTCCCCAGCCGGCAAGTCTCGGGCCTGGAGGAAGACACGGGGAGACAGTCGACTTTTGTGCCTTTTGCATCATAACTCAGAAACTCGTACCTCGAGGCCGGCATGGAGAATCGTTGTGAGAAAAGAGCTCGTCGATGCAATATGGTGAAGACCAATCAGGATATTTGCGAGGACTTGGACCCGATGAACATTCAACGAGCTCTCTTACCTTATATATAGATAAGTGCATGCGAATATCAGAAGCTGACCTCCGCATTCGCTGCAGATTTGAGCTGTCGGATATTCCTATGCTTATCCTCGACGAAGAAAGAATTGAGCCCTATCGTCGCGTTGACTGTGGGTCGCCCGTTGACCATATGGTATGTAACATGTCGAGGATTCACGGCCTTGTCTCTGAGAAAAAAACGCAGACTACTGACTGAGTCTCTGACTCAGTCGGGTCATTGGCGTAGAACTACGCTTTTTCCCAATCGGCTTCCTCCTCCAAATGCCTCACGGTTCCGAATTTTTGCTCCACAAAACATAGCAACCAGAAGGTTGGCGGAACTGGAGTACGTAGACTGAAGTACACATGGAATCTATCGTGGGGGTGGGGTTCACCACTGCCATCATAATTCCAGTTGAAGTAGGTAATCCCGGGATGAGATTAGGAGACTTTCTCTGACTGTTCTGCTCTCTCTTATCTACCAGAGATGGAGTAGGGTTCCCAAATCTACGACATCAGCTCTACTGCACTGGTCCCTCATTTCGATTTTATAATTGGAATACATCGTTCAAGGGTTTCTGAGAAGGCAATTGGTACGCTTAAGGTAGTGACATTAAATGACAGCTTCGGACGAGAAAATTATCATACCATGAGGTTCGTTGACGGCTATATCTGCTCACAATAGAATTCGTTTTTGCCATAAAATGATGAGATAATTTTGTGTGAATAAGAGACGCCATTGGGAGCCATCGCGGATATCCTTGAAGTTTCACGCTTGACCATAATGAAAATCATGCTCCCATGCGTGCAATCACAGTTTTCCCCAGGGGAGAATGGGCATACTCCGCTCAAATGTTTCTGTGGAAGCAAATTGTGTCTATGAAGGCACGATTGGATTTCGGAGATGGAGACCGCCTCCTTTTTCGTAAGTAGTTGACGGAATCGAGCCGAAGCTGAGCATTTCTTGCCATCATGATATTTGTGCTAGGATGCGTGGTTCCCGAGTATTTCGGACCCGAGCCTATAATATGGCCTATTTCAACCTGAAGAAAGCATTTTCGAGTTCGGGATGACCTTCTGACGAAGCCTCACGGGCAGTCCTAAATATTTGACCATGACAATTTTCCTCAAGGAATGATTTGTTTTAGAGGATTTCGACGATCAAGTTTGTGACCATTACACGATTCGCACCCCATCTTGTCCACCTACCGGGGGCTAAAGCGTAGTTCTACGCTTAAACCATTCTCCCTTATCTTCTCTCTTTTCCATGAAGAAAACGCCTCTTGTCGCCTTGGCGTCTTCACTGATCATTGGCACTGATCTGCGTCAAATCGAGCGATCATTCAAGCTGCCAGGACCATCGGCTCCTGCGGTTAAGGTTCCCGGTATCCCGAGTTCTGTTATATCAGCTCCCGAGGCTGAATCGAAATTCATGATTCGTCCCACGTTTGCTCGTGACAACCCTTATCAGCTGTTTAGCCTGAAACCCACCCTTCAGGCAGCATGATGGGATGAGTTCAACACCGTTCTCCAAAACCTCGTCGCATTGTCGCACGGGGGTCATCCCATTCGCTACAGCGACCGTTTTAGCTTTCCTTCGCGTACGACTTTTTTGGGTCGTATGACGCTGAGGCTTACGACGCCGACGCAAGAACTCTATCGTCGGACGTCTCCACGCCATGTGTAAAAACTTCTGCGTGTCCTCAATCTCGCATATTGCTTCTGAATAACTTTTCCCGAGGAGCTGTGTGTGCTCTGAGCTGCAAGAAGGGGATGTCGGAGTTGGGAGAATATCAAGTTGCGAATGCTGTTCGAGGGACAATTGGAGAAGAGAGAGAGCCGAGGCAAATTCCGTTCACATACCGTATCGGGCCCGACCCGCTTCGTACCGTTCGGTGGAAGCGGGTACCGACAAGACTAATGACAATGACATTCATTCGTCTGAAGAAGCTCACTGTTGATTGTTGATAAGTGTCGGACCCGGGCTCAGCCGATAACATCGAACCTCTCATGGAGGATTCTTATGTTTATCATGCCTAGAAGGCGTTCCCGAACTGATAGAGCGAGTTCGCTTAACCTTGACGAGTTACCAAGGAGGAGCAGCTGCCCATGAAAGTCATCACTGACGTATTTTATTCATAGTTGTCCTTCATAGCTTCCAAACTCATCTTAAATTAGGTTTGCAGTCTCAACCATTAGAGTTGATCTACGGAATATACAATCTTCACATCTGTGTTTATCACTCGTGTCGCTCGGCCGACACATCTCATACGAGCTGTATTGAGGCACGAAGAAGCCTCTGGTTTCAGCCTCTGGTATTCAGCAACGGAATGCTATCGATAATCAGGCATCATTGTTTAAAAATCTTTCTCCTCCTCAGGCTTGTAGTGCTGATCCGAGGTCGCAAGGCAACCAGTCCTCATCATTCGAGCCAATATGGTTTCTTTGGGGACGGCCTGGAAACAAAAAGCAGCAATAAAATTGGAATCCGTTCGCCGGCATGCGGAACGTCATCAAATATTCGACACATGTGGTTTCGCTCATGGACTCACTCTGCAGTCGTAGGCTTGTCCGATGGATTTCATGAAGTCAATGAAGAAAGTGGAGATATTCAGCGTGTACGGGACTTCAGCTGCTTTGTAATCGTAGGGGAAGGTGTGATGGTAGTTGTGCCAACCCTCGCCATTGGCTACGAGACTCACGGCCCAGTTCTCCGCTGGATGAATGTGGTGATCGTAGGGGTGGTTTCCCCACATGTGCGCAGCGGAGTTCACGAACCAAGTCATGTTCAAAGTCCAGCAGTACCTTTGAAAGAAAGCACGAGATCAAATAAAATTCCGCCCAACGAAGCCGTCGATCATTGAGCTCGGGGCGAATCATCGAGGGAAAAATATTCCTCCCGTGGCCCTGGCCCCGCAAAATACATGACCGCATGAATACTGACCTGAACAGACCGCACACAAAGAACGCGTTCACGAAGTTCTCTCCGAAGAAGATGATCGGGATCAACGTCGGGATGACGAAGCAGCTCATGAGGGCGATCGTTTTGTAATGACTGAAAATGAATGTTTCTTAGAATACGAGCTGTACAAAACACTACTGAGCCACCGCTCGGAGACCAAGGGATGAGACCTAGCGGTGGCCCTCGGGATCCCAAGATTGAGAAGAGAACCCTGAACGGAAGCAGTATGCATTGACGATTTCTTATTGATCCGGCACCCTCACTCACTTTTTCTGGAAAACCACGACGGGATCCTTGAGCAGGTCAGACATGTCAACCTTCTTCCCTTTCGTTGCCACGTCGGGATGTTTCTTGCATAGAAGCCACCCTACATGGGCGAAAAAGAATCCGCGGTTTGCGTTGTGCGGGTCTGCGTCGGTCTCGCTGAATTTATGGTGCACTCTGTGATCTCGGCACCATTCGAAAATGCTGTTCTGTGATGGAGAGACCGAGGGGAAAATAATTAGAAACATGGCCTCAACCGCTCCAATCAGCCCTACGACCTACGCCAACCACGCATCCCTACTGGAAACGAGCAGGACAGATCGTTCACTGTCATGCTGTTGCGGATACGACGGAAGGTCAAGGACATCGGAGCAGACTTCGTCCGCTGCATTCGTATCGAAGAGGACTATACGCTGCGAATGAGTAGTGGAAGCGATTCGACTTCATGGACTTTGTCGCGGAGGATCCCGCCAAGCCCACGGACAATAGTACTTCGCATCTCTTATGCAATAATTATCCTCCTCGATTCTATCCAGCTCCCTAAATAGAGTCGAGTTATAGTTTCGCAATCTTAAACGGATCAAGAGCTCGGGAAGCTTCCGCGGCAAAACAGAAGAGGAAATTACTCGGAGAAGAAAAGCTCGGCCCAACCGTAGACGAGGAGCGAATGATGCTGATCGTGAGTCGCGCCCGACGCCGACGTAAGCTCATGACTCATCCTGGCAATTGAGGACAAAGGCATCGCAATCCGTTTTTTTCCGTGATGAAGTTCAGAGAGCCGGATCTCTGTGAGGGTGCCGAACGACTTTTCAAACAAAGAAACTCTTTGACGAACAGATATTTCTGAACGAGGAAGCCTAAGGGTTGAATGTACTGTAACCGAGATATCCAGCACGTGTCGCCGGAAAACTGCTAAGGCGAGTTCCGAATCGAATCGGGAGCCGCGAGCTCCATCAGTCCGCGTAAGGTAACTACTGAGACTGCGACCGATTCGTGGGGGATCTCATGGGCCGAGCTGACTACTGACTACTGAGCGATCTCCCCTCCCCTCCTTGTTTTAGTTCCCTGTGTCTATGAGCTAAGCTCGTACTCGTATCTGTCCGTAATTTGACGAGCTCAGGGTTAGGGCAATGCCAGAGTACCCCGGTAGCAGAGGACAGAAAGTTATCGGCGGATGCTCCCGAAGAGCTTCCTGACGACCAAATTATTATTACGTGAGGGCTTGCTTCAGGCACTCTGTGGCATTTCTCCACGTCCATGGGGGACTGGCTCGAGAGCCTCAGTACTGGTCGAAAAAGACGGACTTCCGTCGGCTACTTTCCTCGGAGAGTCGCCTCGTTCCCAGGATTGAGACTCGATTCGATTCAGAAAAATATGCGTAGGGAGCCTCCGTCGGTATCGTCAGAATATCACTGAATGAGCGACGGAACACACCGTGGGAAACAACAGCGACTGAAATCTTTCGGGCGCTCGGACAATGGAACGACATGACGCCGTTACTTACGTCGATAACGTTCCCATTTCCCTCTTCCGTCGCTCATTCAGACAATTTTTTTAGACTCAGGCTAGCCCGGAAACGGCGGCTCTTGCTGGCTACAGCCGATCAACCCGACTCGGGAAGAACGAGATTCGCATGGAAGAATTCGGATATCACAATTTTCGCTATCGACTCGATCGCGTAGACTTGGCAAGATCAGGACCTACCTGCAGAGCCATCGACTGCATCGCAGCGAGGAACACGCGCAACGGAAGTTTGGCTTTGTAGGCTTTGTGCGACCAGAGTCTATGGGCGCCTGCTGTTATGCCCAAACCCGACGCGACGTATAGTACAAGTGCTGAAAGAGAGAAACATTCGATAATGATTAGAGTCGAATCGAAGGAGCTCGTATGAATTTGCCTTCTTGGCTCATTGTCTAGCTAGATCGTCCAACGGGAAGCCCGATGCAGCTCGTTTGATGAAGACGTTTCATGCCGGCTCGCCTGACGGGAACTTCGCGTGTCATCCTAACTGCGCGGACTGGCGGAGGTGTTTCTCAATGAACTGTGCGAGTGATTCTTTATTAACGGGGGCAAAGATATTCAACCTTCACTAAGCAGTATCTTCGCATGTATCAACCGCGACGACGGAAAGCCCGAAGGCCGCGCGACCTCGTTCCGGTTCATTCCGCCGAAGATCCGCCAACCTAGCCGCCCTCAACTTGCTGATTCGAATGGCAGGTGGAACCACGAACCCGAATCCTCTCGATTCAAATTCGAGACACAAGGAAGTTTTCGCGAAATCAGTCGTGATCTCGCTTCTCAATTTCTCCCCGTTGTCATCGTGACATTGGCGGACGAAAATGCTGATTTTCTGTTTTTTTTCCAGCTTCGCGCCGTTTGCAAGTGCATACGCGACGACGGCCTAGAGTCTCCGAAGCTTCTCGGTATGTCGCTCTGCATCATTGCATGACTGATACGGGGATCAAGTTTGCCGGAGCGAGCATCGATCCTACTCAACGACACAAGGCTCCGACTGCATCTGAAGGCTGGAGGCGAGGGACCAGCCGAGAAACAGAGAATCCTCGGGTTCTGAAGATCAGCCCGGAGACCGATCGAATAATGGTACCCTAGCAGCAGGACTTGTGTGCCCCGGTGGCCGATGCGAAATCTCTGAACAAATCCGTTGGCATCAATGGGCACAATAGGCGGACAGATCAATTTAATGCTGAGATGCCTTTGTCCCCGTTGCGTCATTATTATTCCCGACAGATTCTCTTTACGAAGGCCCGGCGACCAATTTTCGGGCAGAATCAGCGAACATCGTCAGATGTCTCTCCCTGAGTTTGTCACACGGCAGTCTTCTCCTTGATATCTTTATGGACGTTTGATGACAAATGGCCGTCCCAAGATCCTTCCTCACGTCTCGATACAAGCAACAAGATCGCCCGAACGAATCCGACACCTAAACGAGCTACCGTCTAGAGTTCGGGACGACCGACTGACTCAAGTTCCAGCTTGTAATCGATGCAAAAGCTCAAGGAGCTACCTGAGAGCTCGGACACTCTCATTCGAGTTCGGAGCTGCCGCGTGTCGATCAGATCCGCGGTTCTACAATACCCGTCTGAATTATCTTATCGTAGGGGACAACGGTTGGGAGCTCGCATCGATTTTGCGAACGCCTCGAGATGGCGTCGAGGGCTCCTTCACGGATTCAGAAGTCGACGAGAGTACGGCCACACGGGGGTTCACTGCTGCTCGATCGAACGTCCATGAGGACTCCAGATTAAGAGAGAACAATGAACAACTTGGATGGCATGGACCGTCAATCCGAAGTCGGCTTGAGTTCCAAGACTGCATCGTTCAGTAGACGAGCTGATTCGAGGTTCCCTAGACGACAAGATGTAGACACGGGCCGGAAACCTTACCTGTGATGGATGTGCTCAGCTTGGCCGAGGTGAACATGAGGTACAGGCCGTACAGAGCTGCGATGTGGAGGTATGCCATGAGTATGACATTCCTCCAAACGATTTGCACTCTGAAGGGGACGACTTGCGAGGTGGTGGCGGTGGTTACGGTTTGCGTGATCGACATCGCTCCTGAAGCTCTGTCAGGGTGCTGCACTGCAAGTTTCAGAACGGAGACTGGGTCCTCGACGCCGAATAGAAACTCTAGCTCCTGCGTGAATCTCACTCTAATGTTAATGGTCGTGATCCGCTGCGCGCTCTGACACTTGGTGGCAAGCGTCGTTTAGTACAGAAATCCGGGAAAGGGTGGTGGCGTCTGCGAGAGAGAGTTTAACTCCACGCGATCAACGCGTCATGTGGGACCACTGATAGTTCGTGGGGCAGCGGACGTGTATTTAGTCGTCAGCGCTCTATGACTTACTGGGACCCGATAGCTGAGCGGCTGATGTAACTCCCAGCTGGCGGAGACTCTTCCGAGCGAAGTTGCCGTCCGATGAGCCGAATGAGTCAGATTGGCTCAATATTAGCGAGCTAGCGTTTTTGCACGAACGTCGGTGAATTCCGCACCCTTTGCCACGAATTATCGAAGCGGGTGGCGATTCCGAGCTTTGCGATGCTTCGTTTTCGCTGGATAAGATTTTGCTCGGGGGATATTCATCGGAATGTGTCGGTTGCGATGCTCTACCAACGTACAGGGTCGGAACGCGCTCGATGTTCAGAGATGTCAAGTGATCCATCGCAGCTGAATGTCGACTCGAATTATATCGGTCGGCTGCGTCTACTCGCTTCCGATGATACTTGAGCATCTTTTCTGCTCTGACGGCCCAATTAGGCGTTTAGAACCGTTACATGCGATTCGTGGCCTTACGGACGGAAAACATACGTAAGAGCAATCAGTCCTTCCTGCTGCCAGGCTTGTGATGTTCGAACTGGATCCGATCATAGAAAGATAGTTTTTCTGACATCAGAAGCTATCTTTAGAATGAAATCGAGTCTACGAAGCCCGAAATCGACTGCACTGGCTGATTGTGTCGCTGCTACTTGAGAACTTCTCACCTCATTCGTCCGCTCTGAGCCGCGATATCGGTGGAAGTCTGTACACTTGTTAGTTGCAGCTCCGGGAACAGAATTATTGCTCAATACGAAATGGCACTCCTCGTGTTTGAGGGCTCTCGAGGGTACGCTGCGGTGAGTTGGATCAGAGATGGATGCTGACTGAATTGTGCGGGGCAAGCATGGCAGAACTTCTGACTTACTCGTATGAGTTCTTACTTTCGCTGCCGGTTATCATTGGAAATTTTCTGGAGATCCTTCCTCGATGCACTGGGGGTCCGCTTGGAGGATCCGATGTCGAGCTTGAATCCGATCTCAGATTTACCGACTTGGGCGGCTTTCCTCTTTTTCGACGCTTCGAGTTTCGCAATTATTTTTCATACACCTGGCTTATCGTTCAAGTCTCGAGTTCATGGATGTGCGCGTTCGTCGCAGCCGGAAAATAAGTCGTTAGCATCCGGGATCATCTCGCTTCTGATGTGTTTGGTTTTTCATTGCGTGCAAGCGCAACGATCGCTCACGGCATTGCTGACGTATCAGCCGATGAATGCGCGATTGAGGAAACTTCGCGGAAACGAGAGAAGCTCTCCAGAAACCCAGTTCTGACGACGACGCGCGACCCTCGTCTTGGTCAGGTCGACCCCAAACGGCGAATTGGGGAACGTCCCAGGTAGATACCGATCCGGGAGACCCATCTTCCATTACAGACACATTGAAGGTACACACGTTTCCAAATTGATTGGGGAGACAGCCCAAAACATACGATGTCGGAATCGAAGCTCAAGAATGTGAAACATCTACGCGCACCGAATGGAATTCGGATTTTCCGTTGGCTTCAATGCCGATACCGAGCCGTTGGGTTATATCATTTTCCTTTTGCTGACATCCCAATCGATTCACTACTCCTCCGTCTGGATTGCCGCTGTCACCGGCAGGATATCCTTTTTTTCTACTTCATTCCGTCGGAAAGCGGTTATTTCCTCCCATACTTGAAAGGGAAGAGGGCTCCGGTCGATTTCTCGGCAGTGTCCTTTGGAACGAGTCCCTGAGCCGGCTCGGAAGTCGGCGCGGGACTGTCCTTTTGAATCCGATCAGCCGACTTGTATTCGATCCCGTACTTGATTTATAATTATTGCTTCGATCTTAGACATCCCTGCCATGACCCGGAAAGAGAAATTAGGCAGTATGGGACCCTTCTGAGAGAGGTTAGGTTTATAGGATTATAGCAAGAAGCGAGCCAATCTGCAGTCGGCTCGAGCTGATTCCCGGCCAATGCAAGAAATTCTGTGCCAGATGCTCTTCTGATGCTAGAACGGCTCAGAACAGTTTCGGCGTGCGGATGCGCAGCATATGTATCAAAATATTCGCGGAAAATCATGTTGATCCAGGAGAACGCCATTTGGAGATACTCAATATGTGGCGAACTCTCATGCAAAAAAAGCGTCGGATTTTCGCTAATTCTGCTCTCGAGAGCATTCTCGATCGGCGCGGTTCTATTCTGAGGATCAACGCTGCGGGAATGTGTCTGTCGGTGCAATTTTCATCCGCGGGGTCCAGACCTTCCTACTCATTCACAGAACAGGAGTAGATCGGGAGCGAGGCCGCAGAGGGAGCGAGGTGACTAAAGCATTCAAACGAGCAGCGATCCATAGACGAAATCCGAGTGAAGTCCCCCTGAAGCCCCAGGCTCCGAGCACGTCCATAATTCTTCTCTGAATGACAAAGCGCATCGGGGGAGGCTCTAGCGAGAGTCTGGTTTCCGCCGTCTAGCATCACCATTATGGGTCACACACGACCTCAAGCAGGGGACCCCTCATTGACGACTTGGACATAAAGCACCAGAGAGCGGCTCTCTGGAGCTGAGACGGTGAACTCTCGGTCCGGGTTCTCAACCGTACTGAAGTCAGCCTGATATCGGCACTATTGGGCTTTGAATAATCCGAGACCGATACCTGTAAACAGCGCTCTCATTCGTTCCTAGGGTGACGACTTTGAAAAGTATCTGGGCAGCCGGAAACTCAGACCTAATTATATATTGCAAGACTTCATTTTCCGTCGAGAAATGAATTGGTGAGTGACGGTGATTTTCTTTGATCGCTCAAGCGTTGCCCCAAAATAGGGGGAGCACATGATTCCCGGAATCGGTGAGAGAGATGGAGGTTCGACATTTACTTTACCAGTCCAAGAAAGTCCCAAATCGTGGTAGTCAAAAAGTCTCTCGAATCGTTGAGGGAAGGAATCAGAGAGCAAGAGTCAACGTCGCATCGGGCTTCTTGACTCATTGTTGACTCCTCCTGGCGAGAGTGAACGTGGCGCGTCTTTACTAAAAATAAGCGCGACGAGCCTCTTTTCCTGTACTACAGTTTGTGGTTCAGTGATTAAATGTAAGAATGAGCTATTCTTGGCTAAGACAGACATCAACACCTTTCTCCTTTTACCGTGCGTCGATTGAAAACTGGCAATCTCGCATACGCGTATCGCTGACTCGGTGATGCGTCTCGGCGATATCCTCCCGCGATATATTCTGCGGAATATCGTGGACCATATCCTACGAGTTCTCTTTGACTTATGCGCGGTCGAAGGTTTGCACCTGGGACTGTATATGTGCGATTTGGAATCTTTCAGGAGCCAGGTCTGCTTCTGAATGCATATGTGTATCCCTGTAATAGATATCGGATCTCGACAGGAATAGGGACAATTCGGGCTACCACTGCGTGGGATATCCATTACAGAATATGCTTCGACCTTAGGAGGAATCGGCGAAACTTGGAACAACAACTTGTGCGGAGGTCACTGATTAGTTTTATGGGTAAAGGGTCATTCGGCCCATGCCTGCGCTATCATCTGTCTCGGTGTTCATTAGACTCATCCGCCCTCGCTAATCCTTATGATTCTGCCCAGCAAGCGGAGCTGAGGAGGCGCGAAGACCAACTGTGAGCTCGGCTGACCGAACCAAGTGATCCCTGTACTTGGGCGTTCGAGTGATTGGAAAATATCGCTTTCACGAGTCTCATCATGGAAGGAAAAAATCGTTCCATTCGAGGAAGGAGGAAACTCCCTTTGCCCCACGCAAGATTCGCGACAGAATCCATCCGATCCCTTTCGAGCTCCGAACTGAATGATTCCTTTTTTCTTGAGAGAATGGTAATGATGACTTTTCTATAATTGTAGGGGAGAGTCATGAATGGTTGATTCATGTGGCAGGTTGAATTCAATTGAGGAAAGCTCCGTCGCTCGAACCATGTATCGTTGTGCCGATAAGAGACGCGCAACCCCTCCCCCAAACTCTCTTGGCCGCTCAGCTAGAGTTTATGCCCAGAAGAGGCGCGTCATCATTTTTGCCCCTCCGAAACTCGACTCGGCCCTCCGATAGGAAATCTTCTGTCCACCCCCCTCCCCCCGGTGCCGATACCAGCTTTCAATTGCTGGATTTCGACCGAGATCCGTTGCTTGTGAAACGTGGTTGACCGGAAGCTCCACTCTCGGAAGAGTGCTCTGTATCCGATCTGGGACTGTACTCAATCCGATCTGCTGGACTCCAAACGCCGGAACTCTCCAAGGCGAACGGCACAAGCTCGCATTCCGGAAGGAGCTCCGCGTGTCTAATCCGCTGGATGAATGATAGACGTTGCGAAATCTAATTCCGTCGCCGTCATTGACCTCGTTAGTAGCGCCTTCTCCGAGTGCCAGGAGGCGGAGGCATCTTCTTCTTTTCGAGGTCCGAAGCTCCACAGCGAGGACTCGCGGCGAGGGAGGGAGGACGCCCGAACTGAAGCGATGAGTAAGGGTGCCAGATTCCTGGTGTCGCATGGAATCCATCTCCTCACTACGGCTTCGGGTCTAAGGAAGGCACCCTTGACAAGAATCTGGGGCAGTGATTACGGGGTTTATCAAAATATCAAAAAACAATCCACGAATAATGATATACTTAATCTGTCGGTGTACCATGGTGGACATGGACGGAGAATACCCCGATCAGGACCGCGGGCTTTCGGCTTCTATATTCACGATCTTCAAGGATTGCTCAGTTTTCAATGCTTTTTTTTGTCCATCTTGAAACAGGAAATACGCAATCGACAGGGCGTGTACTTCGGACCGAACGATGCTCAACGGAGATCCGACTGCAGAACACGTAGCTAACTGATGCACGTGTTACCTCGAGGTCAGAGTTCTCTGAGCGTGCATTTTACGGGTTATGTACGGATCATCGTGTGCATTAAGCGGCGACGCCAACCGACCGGCCGGCCAACGATTCTCTTGATGCGTGTAATATGACAGCCCTGCTCCAAGCGTGTGGTATCCGCGTGCTCTCACCGCTGAATACTATTGTTGTAACAGGATACTGCTGCCTCCACAATGGCAAGATGCTATTCCGGGGAGCTGACTAGGATGGATCGATCCGAAGCTGAATTTCCCATGGAGTCCCCACAGCGTGAGTGTTTGTCTCATACAAGCCTCTCAGAGGTATTTTCACAGGAACTTGAGCTGCTCAACTCGAGCAGCGCACTATTCCGCTTCCCTGTTCTCGACCCGACTCTGATACCACTTAGAGGGCAGGTTGGTAAAGAAGCTCTTGTAGGGGTCGATATCGACTCCCTCGGTTGATTCCCGGACCGCATCAAGTTGAGCGATAGAAGGAGAATCTCGATTCTCCGGCGAGGTTCCAGGACTTATCTCAAGGCTGAATCGGAGCTGCCCGTCACACGCATTAGTGAATTCGGCTGAAAGCGAAGAAGAGGAAGGGGGACGGATCCGATCTCTTGTGAGTTCCATCCACTCGGAGACCTTTTCGGAGTCTTTCCGTTTTCCGACTCGAAGTTATCTGCAGTCTCGCTCGATAATGGGTGGCTTTGGAAAGCTCCTTCGTGACGAGATTGGGGAATTCCGTTTCGGATTTTTTCAAATCGCTGCGATATCGAGCCCGTTATCGTTCAATCTAAGTCCGAGATATCTCGATCCTTCTGCGGGACGGAGATCGACTGGCTGTACGATCGCGATTCCTCCATAAGCTGTCTCAAGTACGATGCAGACTCGACTATTTTTTCCTGATAAAATTACAGGTGTTTTTTCCCAGAAAGAAAAATACGTCGGCATTCGGCACGATAAGAGAGCTGCAGGGAATTTCCTGGCCACTGCCGTTATCATGGGTCCATTAAGCTGACGCGGTCCCGGGTTGCGGCCCTATCCAACTTACTGGACGGGGGAGCTGGAAACAAGCGCTGCCTCCTCGGCCCCCAAGGCCAACCCTCCGGTTTTAGCCTTGAAGCACAACCTCAACCCAATCGTCTCGGATTGACGCGATTCTACCAAAAAGCAGAAGAGCCGTCGGAGATATATATGGAGCCTCATACTCCACAGCTGCACGACAGCTGTGGATATTGTTTCCGCTTTACGTCAGTCGAGGGCGTCGTACGGTACGGTGTGTTGATTGCCTTACGCCATGAGTGTATTTCGCGAGGGTCGGCACGGTGAGACGACCGCCGACGTGGTATAGCAGCTCTAACCTCACGCCTCTCACCCTCTAACAAGGCGAGGGTACGGCGCACAGTCGAGCTCCACTTCAGAATGAGTCTGACCGAACGACGGGTATGTCCTCAGAGTGGCGGTCGATCCGGCTCTATTGCATCCAGTGAAAGGTGCGGGATTAGTAGCAGCAGCAGCAGCAGCAGCCACGGCAAACCCTTTTCGCTTGCCCAGATACGGACAACAAGCGAATTACGCGCGGACTGCGACGACTTTTCGTCGGGCTGGTGACGCGCGGAACTGTTCGTTCGGTGTAGTGGTGCCCTCCATAGGTGGAAATGGACATTGCTCGTGTTCTTCTCATGGGTCGGCGGGCCAGCAAACTTAAAAGAGACGATATTCGGGAGCTCGAAGCGCAAACTTACTGTGAGTTTACCAAACAGAAAATCGGATGAAATTTGTTCGCTCATGCAAAATCTGACGTCCTTATGGGGTTCAGTAATGGAATTGAATCCCGCTCCGTGCAGAAGTTGCCAGTCACCGGAATCGCCGCTTCCGGGAAGCGTTCAGGAAGAACTCATAGCGAGGCTGAACATCGTAATCGATCACAGGGTTGGAAATTATTTGATCGGAATGCAGTCGAGTGACTCCGGATGCAAGATAAGTGATTGGGATTCCGCATCCTGATCGCAATTCGAGCCCCGGAACGGCGATCGCGGAACCGCTCCACTGACTCCGCGTTTCAGAGGCTCGGGCTCCGACGCCCTCTCTTCTGAGCGTCCCGTTGACAGAGAATTACCTCGAGCAGTTGACTCCGCTTTGCTTCTCGAAAGGGGTGCGGATCCATTCGAGCCGGGAGCCGACAGGTGGGCTCAATGGGAATGACTTCGCGCCAAATTGAAGAGATTCCTCCCGCAGCGAGATGATCAGATGTTTTCGAAAGACGAGCTCGAGGCGATTCATTGAATTGATTGAAACAGGTGCGCGCCGATCGGATCCCTCCCGCGTCATCCTGACGCGTGATTCATGACTGACTGGAGATCCTCCCCAACCAGACGCTGCTTCAGCCCGCTTCATGCGGCCTGGAATGCCTAAGGCAAGAGAGAGGATCGATTCCAATGGCGGAGATCGGGTAAATTCGCTCCTCGACGAAAAAGTTCTTTCGATGTCCGAGGCGAATCAACACATGGATCTCTGGTACCGACTGAATATTCTTTTCGGCTGCATGTCAGCGAATATCTGGACGGTCGATAAGACATCTCCTTCACGAAACCGGGCTCCCATTCCTAAATTATGAGCATGATTCATTACTCATTACACAAGGAGAGTCGAAATCCTGAGAAACTCATATGAGAATATCTCGAAGCATTGCTCTTTTTTGTGAAAGAATCATATCCCTTATCTGTCGCCGTAAGTTGCAGTCCGACCTTCACCGGATATTCGTTCGAAACAGGGAGGGAATTCCAGAGTCTGCAGTCGGGAGCTCGGTTATCGGGGCTATTGACCTTCGCTTCCTCTGGGGATTCTGGGGAATCGATTACGATTGCCCCTGAGGCGGAGATAGCGAGCGAATGCTACCGCACCGTGAATCCGAGATTATCCGGGGACGAAAGGCTTTGTTCGAGACATTCGGGGTGCCTATCGAATGAAACCTCGGAGCAGACTATACACCCAGCGCTGCGAAGCTCTATTGAAGTTCCAATTCATAGACTGCAAGCGTATCACTCGCCATCGTTCCGCTACTTTTCTCACAGGGAATCTGGGTGGAAAGAGTTCAGAACCTGGCGCATCGACAAGACATCTCCGTGGACTGAACTGCGAGTAATCCCAGGGATTCCGGGGGATGATGGTTATGTCCCTCGATTCGAATGACGCGGTTTCCCATAAAGCCCAGTCGGAAGTGCGCATATGCCGAACTCGGAATTCAGTCGGCACCTGTTCCCAGGGTGGTCTCCGAATTCGTTTCAACGATGCCGTCGTCAGGGTCTTGGAAGACCGACGAGACGGAAATCGTCCGCTCGAGTGGATCTAGAGTGCGAGGAACACATTTGAGAATTATCGCGAAGACTGCAAGTGATAAGCGGCTCCGAGAGGACCTTTCGACCCGCTACGACTCCACGGCGCGGCGTTCGAGAGCTCATGCGTATTCGAGATTTTCGGGCAAGCGGATGCAGGGCGCTGGATCCTGGCAAACATTCGATCGTCCGATGAGTCACGACCGCTGACGAGTTTCACTTGTAAACTCACTTTCAAGAATTATCGCTCAGCATGACCTTGGCGTGGAAAGATTACGGAATCGACAAGTTTGCGACGAGTCAGCGCGTTATCTTGACACACTGTTTCCTTTTTTGGAAGCCGCTAACGTGGAGTTTCCACGCAACGGCATAATCCCGATCGGATATGATTACACAACGTTTGTAAGCTATTAATAGTACACCTCCAGAGAATGGGTCGCTATCTCGAGAGTTGAGTTTTCGAAGAAGCACGATTCGCTTGAGTGCGAGACCCAGACCCCGGTTGGATACGGAGCATGTATTGACTTTCGATCTCCGTCGATACGACCCTTTGAAGCCAGTATTCACCCGACTGCCATCCAAGTAACACGGCTGGGATTCAAGGGGACGGTCTTACTGGACATTTCAGCCCGCGGAAGGAGCGGATTGGGCGCAGGAAGATCCAGTCCTCACTCTTAGGGCCATTGGTGGCCACAGAGGAGCTCGCTTAAAAAATCTCCTGCCCGCCGATACAGTAATCTTCTGTCTGGGAATGCCAAAATGAAACCCGAGGTTTCTCCGGTATGCGTCGAGTCACTCGAAGCAGAATGAGGAAAACAAGTCGCGACATAAGGTCCAGAGACGAAAGATTTTTCGCGACGCGAGAATCTCGTCGAAAACTACGGACCGCCATGACGGAAGTCGGGAACTTCAATCGAGACATATCCGCACGGCGAGATCCACACTCCAACGCTCTCTCGCGAAGCGGGCTAGGAGCTCGCCTGACCTAGCCATCGATCGCATGATTTCATTCCCTCATATCTGCACCGTAAGCGTGACAATGTCGACGTCCCTGCTCGACTAAGTTGGCTCACGTGACCAAAAAAAAATTCCAGAGACGAGTTCGCAGTAGGCAGCATGATCGACAGTGCGCATTTCGTGACACCTAGAAGCGAATGGACAGCTTCCCGACTTCGCGCTGGAGTTGTTTAGAACAGTGGAAAATACTGCCATTCCATCGCGAGGTTTTGAGAGAACCTGGTCGCGCGCCGTGGATTCCTCGTAGGCGGAGAGGACATCCGTGCAGGACCCAGTCAATGCTTCGGCCTCGAGCTCTATCGGATCCAACTCCGACGAAGTGCACTCTGTCCACCGGCCGCGCGAACACGTATACTTTGGACGATCCCGAGAAAAAGAAAAGGAAAAAAAGTATCTTCTGTGTTGAGTCTGAAGATTCATCCCTGACTCTCCTGTTGCAATTCACGCAAAGACGAGGCGGTTCGGAAACTTTGGTTGCAGCATGGAAAACATGGAGATCTCGGACATCTTAAGATTCGAGTTTCGATTCCCTCAGAGGAAGAAGCTTCAATCCCGCCATGAAAGCTGTAGACGCTCTAGGGAAATATGGCTCGCTCGAGGAGCCCAGAATCAACCTCGGGAGCTCTGCGAGTTGATTCATGCAAATACATCCTATCGCCTGCGAGAAGCTTCACGGGTCGAAATTTTCCCCAGCAGGCGGGGTCTGGGCACCAGTGCACCAGGTATTGGAGGAATCAGAATATGCCCATACGGATGATCGATGCAGCGGTTCTCTCGCTTGACGCGTAGAGACATCGATACAGTGGAGGAGGAAACCGGATCATTCGATGAGATTCTTTCGGTCGGCGGGCATCGGTGTTACGAGGTCATTGGAAGAACGAGTTCGATCGATGTAGAGTTGCGCCAGGATCGGCAACGGAAGACGACGATGTGTCATTCCGCCTAGTTGGCAGCTGATTTTTCCTTCAAGAGGAAAAAGAGTGAATTGTTTGGTGTTCAACGTTCGCTGCGCGTTCCATCAACGAGATAAAGTCTCGGAATGCGATTTACTTTTCTCGATCACCTGAAATAGCTTCAATCGAAAACATCTGAAGAGCAGCCGTGCATAGTTCCATGAAGGATCCGGAATAGATATCAAGACAGCTTTATCAGTTTCGACATTCGCGGTCTCGCGCGCTCCGACTAGTCGATGCGGTTGCTTATCGGACATATTCATAGGACCGTTAGAGGTTGAGAATACCTCTTCAAACCGAGATAAGTCCTAGGCGAGTTTCCTGTCTCCTCCTCTCCAAACTCGAACCGCGACGCCTCGGGTTCACTGTGATGCATCGATACTGCGACCGACATCCTTCACCGTAATCTCATTTTCTATCGTCTGTCACTGCGACCCGGGGTACCTTTGGGATACGCGGACCCGGATCTCGGTCGCGCACTTAGCGGAGGCTCTGGAGGGCAGGCAGCTGGATTCTTGCGTTTTCCGGGCGATTCCAAGGAATAAAAGGTGATTTAGTCCGAGCACCGGGTCTAGGCCATGGCATACTACGATTGGTCCGCGCGGCCATTGAGCGTGAGAAGGGGGACGGAATATAGAATTGACGACATGATGATACAAAACTGAGAGAGAGTTCCTCAGAACCGATGCTCGATTCGGAAGGAGCGATCCGCACTTTCATCAAGTTCGAGAAAGACGACCACGCGCCGATAAGCATCAATACAGGAATGCTCTTCTTTGTGCAAAGTACCAGAGCGGAATCACTCCAGCTCTTCAGCTATGCAGTGCTGACTGTGCTCATGACGTGCCTCGTCGATGAATTCATACGTGCGTGTGGGAAGCCGCTAGAAATTTCCCTCCGTTCGGGTAGGATTCCACTCCAGGTGGGCGGCGATCTTGGCGGGCAGCTCCGCCCGCCTCATAGATATTGACTTTGGAAAGACATCCACGTCTCCTGACGTGGATGTTCTTTGTTTGCATATACGTCAATGCGGTCATCAAATAAGAATCACAAATAGGAGAAATTTTCCCGATTTCGACTCGGCTATGCTTGCACGTCACGGCTCAATCAAGGAAAATGTCGTTTCCAACGGAGCACTGACTCGCTCGGCTGGACTCTGTAAGAGCTATGCGTTCAGCTGACCAGTCTACCGATGGATTTTCGTGAGTGTGAGTCAATAATTGAGGAAGTCCTCTCGCGAAACTCAAAATATTCGCGACTTACTCAAGAACAATCGATCCTCTATTAGAGTACTGAGACTGCACAAGCTTCTGAGTGGCTCTGGTGTGGTCGCTGATGGCCTCTGATCGAGGAGTTTCCTCGATGCGAGACAGAACCAAACGAGGACTCTCTGGGAATCCGTCACAATTCTAATGATCTCTCCGTTCGTTTCAGTCGACAGTAAACAGCTACAGAGATGGTGAGTACCTATTCGCATTGATTTACATCCATGACACTTAATTGGGATGAATGCCTGCTCATTCCAAAAAAAAAGGCCCTGTGCGCGACGAAAGGTCATGGTCCCCAAATGTTGCTGATTGAGACACCGAAATAGGGGCGGATTGAATCTCACATCAGCTGGGAGCCTGGGGCCGCATCACCTCGGTCCCGTAGACTCACCCGTCGCAGTCTTCGAGTCTAAAGGTCTGGCATTGGGGTCAGCTCAGATGTCAGCACGAATTAGGGGTTGAAGTTTATCTGCCGAAAACGTCAAGACCACGGCTGATTCCTTGCTAGCCGAACTTGACGGATGACGAACTTTTTTCCTTCGGGAAGTCCACCTCAGACCCTGAAGTCCGTTCCGGAGAAGGGACGAATTCCGAGCTCTTCTGCCGAAGTCTGGTTTCCTGGTGAGCGATATTAGGGCCTATTGGCTAGAATCATGCCGCGAATCAGAATACTCAGCTCCGAAATGGGAACTCGGTTTTCGGATGCCGAAATCTTCGACCGGCGAACGGCTTCGCAGAACGGGTTGAGCGGAGGTTTCCTGGATGTGTCACTCCCGGTGGCTCAAATCTCAATATTAGATTCTGATCGCCATGCGGTTCCAGATACTGCGACTTCGCGTTGTGGACATTGGTCCCGAGCAATTATCGAGAGGCGGTCTCCAGAGTATAATCGTTGTGGTCGAGGCTATCCCCTGGAGATTCGCGGCAAACGCTGGGCGCGTCGTACTCGATGAGGGTCCTGAGCTCACTCCGATGTGAGAAGTCAGGACTTCACAAAATCGAGCCGCGGACGCTGGAGAGTCGATGTAATTCAGAGAGGACATCCGGTCTATCTGCGAGGAAAAATTCGCGGGGAGTAATTCTCACGAGCACGGCTCGAATTCCGTATGAGAGGACAGGTCTTCTGCCACTAACGAGGTCATATACATATGCATGACGCGCGGGGCCTCCCGGGTGTGTTCGGGACACTTCTTGAGTCTCTTATTCATCCCGCTTATAATTATTATTAATAATGTTTGTCTTGGGACAACAGCTGGGCAGCCATGTGTGCGACCCAGGATGTGCATAAGTACGCTGAACACCGGTGATGAAGCCTGCTTTGTCCACCTCTGTTGAAGCCCCTTAATACACACACATATCTGAAGCGAGGCGATATGATACGAATATCCTGTGTGGGATCCTACTAAGGAGTGAAGTCTTTCTCTCATTTATGTTCTGATCATATTATTCCGATCTCCAGGTCACCGCTGCATTAGAGTTCTGTAGGCTAGTAGTCGAGCTCACTCGGACACAGAGAATTCACGTGGTGATTCGCATCCCTTGAGCGCCCGCCGGCGCTACGATGACGGAACTTTCGTTCACCGCATACGATTCATCGCGTTAGGATGCCCTCGTGTGCGTTAATGTTCGAGCTGCGAGAAGCATCGAATTCCTTCGCAGTTTTCTCCCAGGAACGAATGAACGCGATTGCTTCCAAACGAATTCCTTATCCCGATGAAGTTTCTTCTGAGCCAGCTTCAACCCGTTCTCTGAGGTGATTCCGAGTCTTTCGCAGGACCACCGACAGCGTGATGCTCCTTCTCCGGGCCTCCGGTTTGCTCAAAGATCCTAGTTTCGGAATAACGCTGCATCTCTCCGTGGAAACGGCCTTGAGGGGCAAGGTCGATGTACTGTAACTGTTTCGGAGGGCTCTGAGAGTATTTCTCGCCTGAGCCCGTGCGTCTTACACGAACGGTGATTTCGTGAGCACCCAGAGACGATCGACTCTCATTCATCCTCGTAGATCGCTCCATCAGATTCCTCCTTGAGATTCCGCCGTCCAACGTCCAGAGCTTTGACATGTATGCATAGATTCGACGCATCGACCGTGGAGGTCTTCCCGGCGACCTCCGGTCGGCTCGCAGGAAAAGAACAGCTTGCCGATCCACATCGCATAGAATTCATATCGGTAGCGGTTTGTAGTATTTAGACCGCGTGGAATCGACTTCGGAGCCACTGTATGATCGTCGCGACTACTCTTTTGTCGAATTCATCGCTGGACAGAGCACGCCATTCATCAGCCGGAGAACACGGGTGCGACTCTCAACTGGGCTCTATTGTCTGCTGAAAGGGGAAGACAGCCGGAAAAATGTCTCATATCGGACCTCAGTATGCTCGCCTCGATCGTTCCTCCTGTGCAAATTACTGAATCGAGGGATGGGAGCTCCGTCGAGGGAGCCTCTTCGCTTCGGACATCACCACGCCGAGAGCGCACGTTCTCCGTGAGTGATAATCATGAGCTTTGTGGTGGTGTCAGCTTTCGGCTCGAGTGAAGCACAGAGCTCGAATTCCGAGAAAGTTCGCAGCGTCAAAGAGATTCAAGGAAGCAACTCGATCTCAACTCATCTCGAGGCAAAACCTGTGATATCTTTGGTCCCGGGACAAAATGAGCAATGGAGGTTCGGAGAATCGAGACTTGGGAGTGGATTCTCAGTTCATTTCAACCAAGTTCTGTTGTGGACGACGTCCACGGGGAACATACGCCTCATCATTGGTACATGGTTCACGCTTAATTTCGAGGTTTTGATTCTCGGTGCACCGATTCGAACTATGTACTAGGTTTATTTTTGTGGCCCCGAGCTTTTCGCCTCATCATCTTCGCGGCCAACTTCCAAAGCTTATCCGATGAGCACAAGTCCGGAGATTTTCGCGCAGAATGAGCGGTATGCGACCATCGGATATGCGTGGACTGACGTGTGCGTCAGTCGGAGCGGATCGGAAGGGTCCTTTTCCCTCTAGAACGTGACCGGCCGCAGAATATGTATGTTCCGGGTCCCGGATTCAGGGACCCATAGTAGCGTAGAAGTTCGATGATATGGTTTATCGAGCGAGAACTCACATCCATCCTTATGGTCATGCATCCGTCCAGTCCTCGTTCGGTGTCCACGTGATCAAAAGGGGATTTTCCGGATTCTTCCGGAAGTCGCTGCGGCGAGGAGCTTCTAGCGAGATCGAATCAATGGAATCATATACCTACCTTCGTACTTACATACACATACATGATCCATGGCATTGAAGCGAAGCCGGGCAGCGAGTCCCCTGCTGACGTGGGTACAAAAGTCGCGCGCTTGCGGAAAGACGGCGTTCATCGACGCGGCATCGGCTGGCAGAGAACAGCGTCACCTTGGCTGCCGAAGCTCCGCCCGGGCGAACATTGAAGGGGACCAGTGGCGAATCAGCTCGACCACGCGTCGAGTGTCCACAGTGCTCACCGCGGTTTTTTCCAAGGGAAATCTGACAGAAGGCCGAAACAGCCGCAAACAGCAGCTGACTCTGACCTATTCCATCCAGAACCTTTATAAATGACCAGAACGAAGTCGAGTACCCACTACAAAATTTCTACAATGACATCAAGATTGCTTACACCGAATACTGGCGTATGAGTTTCGCCGGAATTCGCGGCGCCCCCATCAATGGATTGGCAGCCGAGGCAAAGTCGTAGCCGCCTTTATCCAGGAATCGGTCGGCGCGACCGCAATCGAGTGCGCGGGATGGATTGAATCTCGAGGTTTTCGTCAAGGACAATCTCGTTGACGATGCGATCCATCATACCTCCAAATACGGACGTTTTCCGGCATCCAGAGCAGGAACAATCTCTCCCCTAATACCCATACGCCGCTCAGAAGCATAGAAAATGAAGTCCCGAAGTCCCGAAACCTAGCCGACCGAAAGTCGATTCGGAAAGTCCAGGAGAATTCGAGAATCTAGACCTTAGGACATAACTAATGCCGACTCTGGAGTAAGATGTCCGAGAAAACGAAACGAGCGTCAACGGCCGGGAGCAACCGATATCATTCGCGTGATCCGGAGAACTGATGGGGACGATTGCCTAGCTCTGATAATGTTATCTCCGTTGCACGACACCTGGAAAACGAGGAATTCTGCTCGTAGTAGACTAGATAGGATAATGCTCGGAGCTGGAAGACCGTAAGGGGGCTTGGGGGGAGTGGTATGGCTGGATCGGGCATAAACGGAGGGGTAAGGACGTCTCCCCTTGATTCCTTGATCCGTTTCCGCAGTTGGCTCCTCAAGATGGGTCAAGGTTTTGAGCAAAGAATGAATTATGTACCTATTCGAGTTCAGGATCCGTGGCTCTCGAGTTCAATCAAGCCTCACCCCCTCGCTCTTCGCGATTTCGCAAGATCTCATTGCCGGACTAGTCTACGACATTCCTCTGGCTGCCGTCTCTCCGACCGCTCCCCATATCGACTATTCCCCGCGAGGAAGCACACAGGGCCCAAAATGGGAGCCTGGAGATCTTCAAAAGTCTTCGATATTCGCCGAGTCGAGTATTCCGAGTCCAGGGAGCTCCGAGGACCCGAACGTCACCGATCCTATTCAAGCGGAACGCCGCGGAAAGTTTGGTGGAATAAGTTCCTTCCGAAAGGGCGGAGGGGGCGAAAAATGCAGAGAAGTGAAAAACTTCGTGAATGCGCGGCAATAAGTCAGCTGCAGATGGGCGAACCTCCACGTGGATTCAGTAAAGTTGAGCTCTGCCGACTGCAGGAGACGCTCTGTTTTGAACAAGAAAACGCAGCTGTCAGTGATTTGCGACTTGGCAAGCGTCCCGAACGCCAACACTTGCCAGCAAGGCGGAGCGGCCGGAAGTTTCGCTGTCGTTAAGAGACCTTGCCTGTTCTACCGCGCTGGCGAGTCGACCAGCTTCCCGCCAGACGAGTGAGAATTAGCAGTATGGGAGTGACAGGCGTGAGACGCCGCGCCGCCCCCTGACGTCTAAATTGTATACTCAGGATGCTCTCTCGGAAGAATCTCGTGAACAGGGGATGTTCGCCGGAGTACCCCGTTTGCGACTGAATGGCGACGATCGTATACGCTAAACAGGCCGCCGCGTATTGTATCTCCGGGAAGTTGAGGCTCTTAGCAGATTGCTTCCCTCGACCTCATTCCGCTCTCTTTCCTCACTCCCAAATGAGAGTGGAGACAAACATCTACCGTTCGACGGTTGCGAACCGAACACACGGCATTAGACCTCGGCTTCTCGAGCACAATGTTTTCGCGAAGCTCCAGGAAGATTTCGCAAAAAGCGAGTTCCAATCGGCAGAGATGCAATCAGGGCAAGATGAGCGGGACGGGGCTCCCGGATTTTCCTCTGGGAAACACGATCGCCGCCTCCCGGAGACCCCTCAAGACCTCCTCGGCTTGTCTCACCTCGGCGTCGACTTGTGAATGAGGGAGATTTCCGCGGTCGATCCGTCCGGGATGAGATGCCTCGTTCCGACTTGCCGAAAGATCATATCTTTCCCACGCCTCCCCTCGAGGCGTCACCCTGATGCCTCGCCGCTACGTGCGGAATGACACGTCGAGGGCCCTCTGCATGCTGCCGGTGAATATCCGTCATTCGCTCCCCGCCGCGGTAGCAAGCTTCAGATCGCCGCTAAATCACGGCCAAGCCTACCAAAATTTGAGCATTCCTCTGAATTAGAAAGCATGTTCTGACCCCCGATCCACGGTTCCTCTGAATTATATACGGCGACCGAAGAATCCTATCTCCGGACACATTCAATGGCTTCCCCGGGGAAATATTGCTGCGTCAATATGTGCGTTGATACAATTTGCGGTCAATAGCGATTTCGGCCCCTGGACGGTATGTGCTCCGCGATGGCTCGGTGCCAGCTAGCTTCAAGTGCGAATCGCTCCAACAAGGAGCGTGGCGGACTATACGGGTGGCGTCTGAGGGCGGGGGGATGTGGGGTCCGTTCGGCGTGAGCCTGCTGGCCACTCTCTTTCGCTTTCTCGGCGAGCAACATCACGTACTTGCTTGCCGCTGTTGCCCTAGCCACTATTACGGTGAATGCAGATACGCTCGTGAGTTTTGACCTATGAACAGATTACCCGCGCCGAAACGACTACCCGCTAGTCTAGCAGCTTCAATATGGAGCCATACGTCACCGGGAGTAAGAAATGTCAATCAAAGCACTCGGAACACGGACCATCGCCTCGCCCGAGATGAGCTCGTCCTACCGTGCAGACCACAGAGCTCTGTCGCTTCCGTTGCCCTGACTCAATTAATTGAAGACTCTTACCAGTCGCAGAGGGCTCGATGAAGAGGCAAAAAGAGTGAATCGATCGAGGTCCTCTAGTTATAGCGTCACTGGAAGCCGAGCTCGCAAAATCGAGAAAAAAGACAACCATCGATCTTCCGGAATGAGGCTGGCGTTTTCCTGCCAACGGGCGTTCGAAGGGTCTCAATACGGAATCGACCCAAACTCTCGCGGATGCAATAATTGGTCGAGCCACACAATATGCCAAGCAATTAATTGGAGAATTTCGTGAGCCAGTTTCCGCTTCAGGGCCTTTCAGCCATTCTTATCGGATAGCGGCAGGCCACGTACCGCTCGAGTTTTTCACGGTGCCTAATTACAATCCTTCTTCCACGCGTCGAAAATCAAAGATTCAAAGGAAGCTCGGAAGTAAATATTTCGGGAATCGCTATTCTCGCAAGATCCGACGCCCACCCCGCGGATACTGCTCTATCTCGATCCAAATTCTGATGTACGGGGTTCGGAGCTCTTTGTCGCAAAGCCGCTCCCAGAGTCAGTACGCTTTCGCCCGCAGTAGCTGTCGGGTGGCTTGCGGGGTTGGAGCCATAGAGTGGCCCCGGTGCGCAGGAATCTGTGAACGTGCTCCACGTCACGGGGACCTCCGACAGAATAACAACCCAAATTTTGAATAGCCTAGGGATTTGGTCGTGTGAGGCAGCGGGTCGCTCAGCGAGTTTGACTAGCGCCACGAATACGGTTCAGTGGGACCAGGAATCCAGAAATCATGGATGATGGGCCTCCTCTCCGGAACAGGAAAGCGCTCGTGGGCTCACGAAGTACGAAGTTCTTTGCCTCGATGCATAAGCGGAAACGTGCTCGTCGATTGTGCATTACAGCGTCCGAATGAACTCGCTCAACTCCATTGTGATACTTCGAGTCGCGAGTTCACAGGGGTCGAATCGTCTCCAGAAGATTTCGCTCGAAATTTCTCGGAATCAATCGACTGTGACGTGATGACAGGCTTCAATAGCATGGGACAATGATGTTCTTGCACGGTTCGGGTCATGCGTAGTTCTCCGAGAGAGAAACCCGACGAGGGAGAACTAATCCAATTATACGCTCACTTAAGCAACCGTTGTCTCGATAAGTTCACTCGCGATAAGAACGACAGAGGTTGACGGCGTAAACGAAACTCGATTGTTCAGTCCCTGAATGATGCGAAAATCGCGTCGTTGAGCACCGTCGCGATCTCCCGCCAGGCTTAGGCTTGATAGACCTCAGACGTTGTGTCAGGAGCTGACTGATACTGAATGAAATTTCTCCGGCTACACCTGACTCCACAATAGCGAGTACTAATGTGATTTTTTCGTTTAAAGGTATCAGGAATTCGTGAAAGATTGCCCAAATGGCGAGATGACCAAGGACGAATTCGCAAAGCTTTACGGGCAGTTCTTCCCCACGGGAGACAAAACGAAATTCGTGGACTACATATTCAACGTGTTCGACGAAGACAAGGTAAGCAGGACGACCCTTCCCGCAGAATGCGCCTGGCCATCAGGGTGATGAGGACAGCTTCGTATCAGGTGGATTATGATCCGAGGTTCCCCCTACCGCGAAGCTTATACTCGCCGCAAAATTGGATTGCGCAGCTCGGTCCCATTTCAATTCCTTGTTTGTGAGCCAGCTAACGAGTCCTACCGGCTTTCTAGTCGATGCTCGGCTATATCCGCTCAAATATCCTCAAGTGCCCCGCGAATAAATCTTCACCTTCGGCGTCACGGAGCCCGAGAGAACTCAGGAAAAAGGGTCCAGAGCAACGAGTGTAGCACCCTTCAAAGGCTTGAGGCGCGAGTCGGTGGCGGTTGATCATTCATCATGTACACCAACTCAGTCGCTCTGATCTTATCCATCCGGAGTAGATTTGGATGTTTCGTCTCGGAGCCTCCAGCACTTCTTGATTCTGTCGACACGTAGATCGTGGAGGTCATCAATATTGCCCTGAGGGAACATCAGGTTGAGGCAGCGGCCAAGAATGAATGAATAGGCTTCGGGACTCGCTTGCAACGAAGCAGGCCATATCGAAGGGGGCCGGATGATCGCGTCTGAGCGATCCGGCTCGCAAATCACGAAAATGGGCGATACGTGGATGGGCTCATGCCCTGTATCGACAAGCTGCTGGAGTCGATGATATCCCACAGTGCAATCAGGATACCTGAGAGCGCCGGTTTAAGAGTTTCAAACAAGAGCTCTCCCGAGAGATGATTCGCCTGCTGATTGTCCCGAGCAAGGCTCGCGAACAGATTGATAAGTTTGTCTATAAACGACTCGTCTCTTATGTATATCCATTTCTTTTTCAGAACGGGGTTATAACTTTCAAAGAGTTCATCAAAGCCATTTCCATCACAACTAAGGGCTCAATCGACGAGAAACTCAACTGGGCCTTCGATCTGTACGACATTGACAATGACGGGTTCGTTACCAGAGCCGAAATGCTTGACATCGTCACAGCAATCTACGTCCTGCATGGTGAGTTTCGAATATAGTCGGACCACTTCTCGATTGGGGTACCTATTTCGTCGGCCTGTCTTCCCACGACCTTTCGCCCAACTGAAAACCCCCAGAACCGTGCAATCGATGGGACTTCCTATAACAAGTATTTCTCAGACCTGTACCGAGGACTTGTGATCAATTTCTAGTGATTCGTGGGGCGTCAGTGGATCCCTTTGGAGAGTGATTCCTCGCGGAGCGACCCATGAGGTTTCCACGAAAACGGAACGCTGTGGCGTTGCACGAGCGGAAGCGTTCGCTGATACCCGCTATGAGCAAATGAGGGCGAATTTCGCCAGGAATATCTGAGACCACGTAATTGGTGTTCGAGCCTTGATGCGGCACGATGCACGGTCTTTCTTGAAGGGAAACTCGATTGGAAAATCTCGATTGAGATCATTCGAGACTGTATCGAGTTCGTTGGTAAACGTGGTCATAGGTGTACCTGGGTCGTTTACCGTCCGACGATCCAACGGATGGGCGAACGAGTGCTCGCGTGTGCCCTTCTGAGCGTGGATCCTCCGAAGCGTGACATTTCTGTAAACGAGTCGTTTACTAATGGAACCCGGTCGGCCTTGGAGGTCTGTGACGATGTCTCCCACTCAACGGGAAGCCACTGTCATCGACGGCAGCACCGCAGAGAATGACGACGCCGAGGAGAATTCCCATAAAGATGTTGACTAACTCGTTTCGTGCAAATGTTGAGTGAAGCGGTCGTCATGACGTGAAAGTGATCATTCCGTATGCCCTCATGAATAATTGATGCTGATCTCTTCCCTGACGGATGAATATAACTACGGGGAGCGCTGGATAAGGTCAGAGGAATCGAGCGGTGCCCAGTGGAAAGAACGGAAGCCGCCCGAGGCTTCCGCTGGGTACCGCCGGAATCACGGCTATTTCCCCGGCTGAGAGTCGTCCGGATTCTACGCTGGGCTCCGATTGATCACAACGTCCTCTAGTTCGGCCCCCGGATTTCTCGGAATCCTGATCGACTCAATTTGTCGAGAAGCCATCAAGCTAATCGGTTCTGACCACCCTTTCAGGTAAAACTATGGACGGTGATCCGTCTCGAAGGGTCGACCAGCTGTTCGCAAAACTAGACTCGGATTCCGACGCTCGGATATCTCGAGAAGAGTTTTGTGAAGGCTTCAAAACAGACCCCTGGATCCGGAAGGCCCTGCTCAGCCAATACAGCGAATGAATGAGGGAGAAGGAGCAAGAGCGAAGCTTCTCAATCCTGTAGAAGAGATTGCATCTAGTCAGCCAGTGGAACAAACTCGACAGAAGCCGCAGCACCAATCCAGGACTCAATAGGCGGCGATGCGACGCAAGGAGCCTAGAGCATTCGAGAGTCGACAACCATAAACACGAGGGAGAGGAAGAAGAGGAGCATCGCTTTGCGCAGAAGGATAGTACTCATCTCGGTTTTCCGGGAGCCGCCTCGAGCAAGCCCAATATGCAAAAATATATACGCCCGCCACTCAGAAAGATCATCGATCTAGGAAGATAGTAGGCGCAATGTGTCGAATCAATTTTACAAAACAAAAACACGGTAAACTGAGAACTTACAAGCAAATCATGACACCGAGCCGCCCAGATACCCTCGTCTGGCTCAGAGCTCGTCAACCGCCTCATTGCCAAGCGATAGGCTGTGTTTCGAAGATTGAGATGATGAGATCATCAGGACACGGATTACGAGGACTCAATAGGGTTATATATCTTCGAGATGCAACGAGTCTGAGGCTCCAGAAGCTCACCACGATCCATACCTTGTCATATAAATATCCTCTCCGTCGGAAACTCCCTCTATTGCAGCCGATCGGTGAGGAGACAACCGATTGAATCACCTCAGGAAGCTTCCTCCTTCACCCGCTTCCCCCGATCGGAACGGATAATGCATACGCACGTCTTTCGATAGCTCCAATCAGGGCTATCCTGATTTCCGCGAGAGCGAGCTTGAACATGAGGAATAATTTACATGATCACAGATCTGGATGACCATCTCATCCTCACGCAACCGGGTGGAAAGCTATTTCACTTTTGATGAGCTAACGGTCTCCTAGGAAATTAATTAGAGATTACGTAGAGACTATGGTTGTGAACAGAGTCACGTCGAGCCCCCTTTGGGTCCCAATAAAAGGGACATTCGGTATGGTGGGGCGAAGTTTTATATTCGGTCGCGGCAGGAGCTTCAGGCGAGCGCGGACTTCGCCGGAGCATGGATCGATAGGAACATTGCTGAGTTTTCTGACTTCTGACAAAAGTGAGAGACTTATTCAGCGATACTAGAGAATCTCTGCAACGTGAGCGAGCTCGGAAGTTCGAAGTTTCACTGGCGAGTGCGCTGCTGATGGTTCCCGGCTTTTGCCTTTTCCAACTCTCTTTCCACGGGTGGCGAATTTCGAAAAGTCTACTCGTATCCTGGGAAGGACGAGAGTCGGGTCGTGGTTCATACTGCGCGGAGTGTGAGCTCACGGGATCTATAGATCGTTTTCAGGAACGAATTCGCCGACTCACTCATCGTACGTTTAAATCCAGGCTGCAATGAACAAAGAATGAAAATAAAGTCTATCTCCTCCATGCCTGTATTACGTTTTCGCGGGTGGTGAAATAGCTTTATTAGCGTAAATAGCTTCGTAGCTTCATTCCGGGACCTGCAGAGGATCGCTCCGAGGTTTCCTCGGGATCTTCGTCTATCGTTATGGCGATGGTACATTTATACTGATTCATTTATGCTATAATAGGTCGTATCAATCTGAATGGCGCACGGTGAATTCCATAGTCGGCATCTGGGATGTTCATGTCTGCTTCGACTCAACATTCCAAACGACGCAGAGGCTCGAGGCAGAATCCGGACGTCACCTTTCCTTCCTGATACTCATATAGCGTGGGACCGGTTCCCGAGCGAGTTGACATCCGCTTCCGAATGCTCATTCATCTTTCCCGAAATATCTCCCTTCCCCATATCGTTCAGGAGATCCATCATTGGATTGAGGTCCTTCGGTGGCCCTTTGCGTATGTCGGAAGAGGGAGGTCAACGTTCCCGAGCTCGACTCCTCAGCTAAGGCTCAAACCCCTGACTGCCGCCTATGGCATCTTTGCCAAGGATCCCAGAAAGCAGCAGTGTCCGGGAGAGCCGGGGCCGGGACCCGCCTATTCAGCCGGCGCGGCGTCAGGAATCGAAGCCACGCGAATCGCCATCGTGTGGAAAAATGAGCCAGGCTCCCGGAAAACTAAAGAATATTTCCGTTGATGTCAACCGCCGGAGTTTGCTGTCTTCGCAAGACCGCTCGCTGGCAATGTCATTCGGAGCGGGAAGCCTTGGCGGGACTCGAAGCTGGGGATCTGGTAGGGATCCCTCAGTTTCGATAAGATCTGAAGCTGGATGAACCCCGGAAAGTTTTTCATAGGTAGCGATCAATGTTTGCTTTGACTATTCCGAAGCGACGGAAGCGTCCTCCAAGGCATATTTTGTGCTTTATCGGGGGTCATCATTTCACTGCCTAAATACTTGAGGCTTGAAAATACTAAATACTTGAGTAGCTCCCGTTATGGTCCTCAGGGATGAAGGCGATCGGAGGATGATGGCAGCAGGCAGTCGACTCGACCCTTATTATTCAGAGGTGATGCGAATGAATGGCATGTGCTCCGCACAGGTGGAGGGCCTCGAGGTCGAGGAACACCTCGATCATACACGGTCCGAATCTGAACCTAACCATTCGTGAGTTGAGTAATCACGAATTCATCGTTTTCTGACTGTTGGAGTAACCTTGTAAATCCTCTAACCATATGCTCCCGGGAAACTCCTTATCGATCGAGACTCAAGTCTCCCGCTTGGAAGGATGCTCGGTAGCTGAGCGTCTTCGCACAGTTGACGTTCTCATGCGCAATCTGCTGACTCGGAGACAGCGCATTTGAGATTCAGAAATCCCTTTCCGTGGCATGTGGGCACGTCGGTATCCTTCTTCGTCCCAATGAAGAATAAATTGTACCAATGCTGAGTTCACGTCGATAATTGTGAGATATACATACATATGTCCAGGAGCTGCTTCCCACCATCAAGTCCTGTTCTCTTAAGAGTGCCGACTGGTCTCGGTGCCCCGGTGCCAAGAATGTGGTCGCGGGGGCGAGGGGTCCTCGGAGACTTATCTGCCAAAATAATCCCTCCAGGTTGTAGCCGACGAACCCCCACATCGGTAGAATCCTTAGAATAATCTCCCCAGGGCCGTGAAAGGAGTGCAAGGGAATCGGCGAATCGGGACCACACTGTGGAGGATTGCCTTCGTGAAAGAAAACTTGATAAATCATTTGTTTATTTCCAGTTCTCTCGATACTCCCCACGATTCGGCTCTGGGGACTCGATCATTACACGCTCGCGGAGAAGGGACCATGTAGGCATTCCTTTTCGGTTTCATTCTCATATTCGTCATGAGAGAAGAGATTTATGTGAATATATACATAGGTATGTAGTAGTATGTATGTAAACCCGTCCCGACTATCCCTCACTGGATTCTGCATCGCTTTCCCCGAAAGCACTCTCTTCCTCCGCCAAATCGGATATTCTGGCCGTATTCACAGTGGCGAATATCCCGTGGAATTCTGCGATTGAAAACATAGCTCCGGAGGAATCTAGTTACTCCATTTCGAGTTCGCTTCCTTCTTCGAGGCGTAGGCTTCGGGATCGAGCCTCCAAAATCGTTGGCTGAGAGTTGCTAATTCGAAAGTCACAGTGAACGCGACCGCGGTCTACCTTCGAGTCGTTTACTACAAGTAGCTAATGAAGCATGAGTTCCGCGCTGTCTTTCAGGTTTTCAAAGACGCAAATAGAACCCCTCCCGGTATATTCGGGCATGTACTCTTTCAGCACCCTCTCGCAAAGCTCGAATTGCGGTGGCTTCGAAATCGGTTATCTCATTCAGACGCCCGGGTTTCAAACGAGGAATATCAGTGGCTGGGAGCCTCCTTCCGATAGAGCACTCCAGACTCAATTATTCAAGCTCAGGGAATTACTCATTTCGGGAAATCAGGCCCCGAATTCTATTAAACGAACAAGTCTCGCGAAACGTCGGACGGATCCGATAGCGAAAACTCCAGCGAATTTGAGCGCCTGAGGCACTACGCATTCACCTTCTTCACCGAGCAATTATGCGGAGTACAATCGATTGGAAAGAACGCGGCTGCAAATGTAACCGTCCGGAATGAATTCTTTCCATGACGCATCTTCTTCACCTCTCACGAGAGAATCGGGCCTGAAGACTCGCATCGAGTCGCCCCAAACCTCATTTGAATTGCGAAGGGATAGATAAATCTACGAATAGAAATGTCCGCAGTCGTGGGGTCGACTTTCCTTTGATTGCATGAGCGACAAGCGGCCACTCGACTCTGAATGGATTAGCATATGAGACCTAAGTGGCTCGCCTGCTTGTAGCGATTTTCGACGGATTTCAAGCGCTCGATGTCCTCGACCGATTGAAACTCAGAGTCCGAACTCCCGGAAATTGAGTCTGAGCGTAGGCTGATCGGCTGCGGAATGCCCTCTTCAAACTGTTGCACGCGTCTACGCTGCCAGGGCATCGAATGAGTTTTCGAGGATTTCTCGCAGATCATGAGAGCGAATGTTAGGAAGACTTTCTGAGCTCAGCTCATCGGCCGCCTCGAATCATCTAGATTATTGCGCAATCTGACTCAGGCACAAATCGTCTGATAAAAGAGGACCACAGAATTTCCTCTAATATTCTCTGGGAAGGAAACTCGCACCGTAATCCAAACCAGTGAGACTCTTCCAGCGTTCATGGTCGGAGCAGAGATGAAGGTTAAGCCGAAAGCGACCACGGCGCCTCTCCGACTAAGAAGCTTTGTGAGCGCCCCGATCTTCTAATGAGGCATGAGGAAAAGATCGGCAGTCTCAAGATTCTCGACCTGTTCTCTCGGTGAAACCCAACTGCATCCCAACAGTGCTTTGGAGGCAGGAGTTTAAGGTGACTCACCTCCCCGAGTCCCTAATAAATTCCTCAGAATCCGCATGATTCTCATCGGTCGATAATAATAGTAGCCTTGAGCTTAAGCACCCCGCCATATATACGGGTGTAGAATACGGGCTGGGTATAGGGGTCAGGACTTCCAACGGTGGAGACATAAGGGGTCCAGAAGGGTTTGAGCGGATTCGCTTCTCCTTCGTTGGGAGTTCATCAATTCCAATTC